CTTGACAATTCAAGTGTAATATCTTTATTGTTGTTTTGGTGGTTTAAGGGGACCCACCGAACCTTTGTTCTTGGACTCAGTAGTATTTGGTTTCTTAGATGATGAAGGACCAGCCACATCTGTTGCATCAGAGAACTTCCTCTTTATACCCTGCTCGATTGTCTCTATTTCAGTATCTCCAAACTCCGGGTGATGGTCTCCAACGTGTGCTTCCGGTATGTTAGAATTAGTAGAGGCACCATTCTGACTCTGCGTCATCGTAGTCGGAGGCAGAAGAAGAGGTAGACCCTGAATACGAGGAGGCTCACCAGTGAGTGTGAAGGAATTCAGACCTGCTATAACATTCAACCTGTCTTGAGCTGCAGTAGAAGGATTGTTGCCAATTTGCATCAGTTGCTCAATCTGAGGTGGTAGACTTGGCGCATGGGGGCAGACATCAAAGCTGTGCTTGAGGCTACCACAGGTTGTACAGAATTTTTGAATTCTAATTCAACTGGAGCAGTCTTTGACATGATCAACAGATCGAGCCAGAGTTGTTATAGGAGAGTCAACATCGAAATCCACCTTGACCCAGACTTCAGCCAGATGATTAATAGTTTGTTCGATGATCAGGACATCATCAACGTGACCTAATTTAGAGCCGATGCTGTTGACCATACCTCGACGACGATACATCGCTGGAAGCTTGTTTATCTTAACCCAAAATGGAATTGACGAAGGAAATCTGGATACCTCATATTGCTCCAGCGGTCAAGCGCCACCATCCAGCCCCTATAGGTATAAGGTCCACCTTCCAACACCGTCGTGAGATTATGCTCTCTTTTTTGAAATAGAAATTAACGGTGTCATCATCATTGACTTGACCTTCAACTTGTCCAATAAGACTTCAGGCTTTGGGCATCACCGCCTTGATTCCGGCCGGATTCTGATGATCTGGGTTAAGCCCTTTAGCAACCAAACAAAGTCGGTGATCCCTCTGGAACTCAAGTTGAGCATCTTGGTGAACCGACTATGCTTCTTGATTCGCTCCAATTTTTAATCTTTGAAGTGTTTGTCATAATTCCTTCTGGGTTTCTATCTGCTCCATCATGTGGAATTGAAGATTATCGAAGCTTTGGAATAGATTTAATCCAGAAATCTGGAAATTTTGGATCGAAAAAGTCGAAGCTAGAGTTTCGCAGAAGTCGCCTAAAATATCACCTGTTTCGAGAGCCTTTGCGAAATGTTTCAACTATAAGAATACCCCTAATTTTTAATAAACTTACAAATCTGATATTGTTTTTGATTCTTGATTATGTCATCAAAAATGCTTTTTTAAAATCCTCAACCAAAGAGGAATATTTTCCGTTAAAAATTCACATCATTTTACTTTCCTCACCATATTCTGAGACAGTGAACTCTATTTTTTTTTTTTGATATTTATCAAAACAACTATTTTTTTTTGATATTTATCAAAACGACTATTTTTGCAGAATTGCAGATGAAGAAGATACATAGTTTCAATTGTCTTTAGCAATTTTTTATAACTCAGTCAGAATTCGTACGATAAGTCATTATATTGCTCAGCAAAAACACGTTAAACTTTCTCTAGATTTGTTTCTTTGTTCCTGATCCTCTTGTTCTGGTTATAAGTAAAGACTGTGTTAAGGTGAAACAAAGATGTCACTAGGAACAAAATCGATCTGTTTAAACATTTCAAAATCAAGAAATGAGAAAAGATGATTATTCTTAGATTAACTCGCATGAGATCATGAAAAAAAAAAAAAGAGAGTTAGTTCTGAAAATCGTAAAGTCTCATCTCTCTCTCAAAACGACGAAGTTTTGTGATCCTGCGTTCTTCTGTATCTTTGAGATCTTCCTCAGAATTTCAGCAAAGGCATTCTTGTCCTGTAAAGATTTTCGTAAAAAGGATTGATTCTCAGAAATTAAGCTCAGACCATATTAACTACCATGTAATTCTTAATGAAGGAATTAGATTAGAGTCCTATAGCAAATATTACCTCTTTGGTTTTAAGTCTTGCCTTAAACCTGGAGACAAGGTCCTGTGTAGTGACTTGCTTCTTCTCCATCAGAACACCACGGATTTCGTCCTCAGTAACAGGCCCCGTAGCAGCTGAAGCTGCAGGAGCTGAAGTTGATTCAGGTTTCACGGCTTTTGTCGGGGCGTTGGATTTAGAAATCGAGTTACTTTTCTCTTCCTTCACCGAAGAAGATTTCGACTCCTGCTTACAAAGATTACAAAAACCTGCTTTGTCAGAAATCACAAGACAACACGAGTAAACACTCCAACAAGGATATGTAATACAATCCCTTATCTGTTAACGCCGATGCTTAGCCTCATAGATTGAATATTTTAAACCTATGATAAACAGAATCGAGTGTCTTACACTTTCAGTCTTCACTTTCTTTTGAACAGAGCTGCTTGGTTTTTTAGCATCGCCATCATTTAGTTTTCTCTTTCCCTTGGATGGTTTTGCAGAAGGTGTTCCACGAGAAGATACAGAGGGTGCAGGTTTTGGAGGAGTGCTCTCAACAGGTTCTTCTTTGGTCGCATCCTTCTGTTTTGAATTCGTAATTGGACCGAAGTTTGTCTCCTCATCCTATGAAAAATGCCATTCAGGATGATATTCTTGTATCAAAAACCAGTTTATAGCAACACGGATATAATAAAAATGAGTGTGCTTGAGAAATGAACAGTTTGATTTAGAAGAAAACAAAAAGCAAAGTGTGTCGAAAACTGAAGAGGGCTTACATCATCTGAGTCATCGTCGTCTTCTTCATCAGATTCATTCAAACCATTAGACTTGCCGAGCAGTTTCTTTAACTCTTTACCAGATTTGCTCAATCCTCCCTCTTCTTCTTCGTTTTCTTCATCGTCATCATCCTGCAAGAAAAGTGGAAAAAAAGAAGTCAACATTAATGTATTCAGTTTCACAGAGAATTGTGCATTGCAAGTGGAGAAATATACAAAAAAAACCGACCTGCTTTATTTCTGGAGGAGCAGGAATTTCAGGCGCCAGAAGATCTTCACGTTCCTCGGGATCATTACCAACAGCCTCATCATCATCAGTGAAAATTTCTTCATGCTCCCAGTCATCACCTACAAACAATCAACGCATTATCAATATTGACAGAAAATTTCTCCAGTTTTCTTAAATAGATAACAGCAAATCAATACTACTCACCCTTCTCAATGTCATCATCATCCATGTCAAGATCACCACCCCTCGGACCTTCTTCATCATCATCATTACTCTTCTTATTAAGCCCGAGCCTACTTTTCCGTGATGCCTCTTCCTCTTCGTCTTCCTCACCTCTGTCAGAGACATTTCCTTCTTCTTCATCACCGCCTGATGACTTCTTACGACCCCTACCACCTCCTCCACTGCTTCCACCGGCTTCTTTGTCATTCTCCGTTTCCCCAAATAACGCTGGACCATTATTTGCAGCTTTCATCATCCACCTTTGATACCCATCAGCAGTTTTTCTACGGTTCTTCATCTTCTCTTCCGCTTCTTCCAGAGTAAGTTGCTTATACTGTGCAACCTTGTTGAAGTTATACCTAACACAATAGAAAAAGGTCAGAAGTTGAAGCGAAATAGCATTTGTGAACTCGACGCAGAATCTGCCTTTAGACTCCAACCACAAAAGTTATAATACCAACAAAAGAATCTTGAGAAAATGTTTCTCCATACCAAGAACCAGCGGGAATAGCGATAAACTCTTTGTTCTGCATCACCAAGAGATAGTAAGTTGCAGACTGGGAGCCTTCAAGATGTCCTTGGTACTGAAACTGGCCAGTTTCATCTTCCAAGATCCAAGGTTTGTTCTTTAACTTCTCCTAATAAAAATACGATTTCCACACAATGAATCAGACAAAAGCCTCCACAATGATTTGTACAAGGAACATGATGATAACACAATACCCGTTGTGCATCAGTAAACTGACGACCTTGTGGTATATCTTTACGAAGAGACCATTTATTCTCAGAGCCTTTCTTGAAATTGGGAAGACCAGACACGAATCTACCAATGAAGTAGTTCTTATCGGTGGGTGCAGCCGCACGAACATTATATTCCTAAATTAACATCGAATTGTTCAGCTCAATAGTAGAGACACGAATTGATTCTGAGATTGGAGAGAAAAAAAAAAACGCAAAGAACACTAACCCGAATCAGCCGCGTGACGATGGTTCCACAATCGATACACTTGGATTTATTCTCAGCCATGGTTTTACCACACTTGAAGCATAACGTCATATGCCTGCACGAGCTTCCGTACAGATCGGACGGCGATTTGCAGCGCATACACTCCGACTTCAGCGTCAAACAGTGCGACGACATGATCCCAAGATAAAAAACCTTCCTCTTCTTTCTGTACACAAACCCAGAAAATCGAATTTAGGTTTCCCGATTTCAGAATCCAATTACGAAGATCACAGACGCAATCGAAACAAAATCCATAGATTTTTGAGTTTCAATCTAGGGTTCCTATCACCTTTTGGATTTTGTGATTGTAATCAGGATTTGTGTTGTGAGTTTCAGAGAATGTGATTGAAGACGAGAGAATTTCTCGGTTTAGTAATCTAAATATAGGTCTTAAGATTTGAGTCGGTAGAGAAACAAAAGGAGACGATACAAAATGTATAGACTTTCACGTAAATAGACCGATTTGCCCTTTGACTATAAAGAAAGATTAACATAAGCAATTTTTTTTTTTTTTTTTTTGTGGTCTCAAACTTGAGTTTAATGAAACCATATCAATTACTAGATAAATTCATCACATTTGTTCAATTGTTTTGTACCCCTCAACACCATTTTTGGCGGTGAATTCTTCAGCAAATTAAAGAAAGATTAACATAAGCAGAAAATTTTTTTTTAAGCTCAACTGTTTGTTTCATACTGATGCTAGATTCTTCATTGCTTCGTTTAACTTCTTACATGTTTATTTTCTCATTGTCTGCTGCTTAAGAAAAAAAAAACCAAAATCACCAAACCAATAATCAAAATCTAAGAAACTCAATTCAGAAATAACTGTTGTTGTTCAAAACTGCATTTGCACCAACACAATATTGAAAAAAAAAAAGAAAAAAAAAACAGTACAATCTTCAAAACACAGATAGCATAATCTAAAAGTTGCAGAGAAACTCGCTTCAGTCAAAGCCTTTTTTCCATAAATGGAAGAGACCCATCATTCATACCCTAAACCAAAAAACCTTAGATGAGGAGCTTCTCAATGGCATCCTTAAGCTGCTGAATTTGAGATTTCAACTGGCTAGCCTCGTTTGATGTAACCGAACAAGCGATAACGGGTCTTGTTACACCACATGCTCTTCCAAGGGCTTGTTTCGATGGCACAAACACATACGGCACATTCTGCAATCATTCAATGAAAAGAACACAACATCATTGGTTTCAGTATCAGACAAGAATGGTTTCAGTATCAGACAAGAATGTTTAGCAATCATAAGACTTGTGAAACAAATTGCTGAAAAACTAATAGAGATTGGGAATCACATTCTTGGATCAAGAATATTAGAAATCATAAGACTTGTGAATCGATTGCTGAAAATCTGATAAAGATGTGCATATACAACCATTTTCAACTATGCAAAAACAGCAAATATATGCTTAAAACGAGAATCACATTCTTGGATCTCTTGTCAATTAAACATTGATTAATCAACAAAGTATGATACCCAGAAACTATGTTCCTGATATTGCATATACCAAGAGCTCTTAAATAAATAAGAGATTCAATATAAAAACACTCATCACTGGTGCAAAAAATAGCTTCTAATGCCTAAGAATTATGAATCTGTCTCTTACATTCAAGAACAAATATATACACAATCACCGATTTTTATTACATAACATCATGACTTACAATCACAAAGGGAAGTCTACTAGTCCAATTTCTACATATAGATGTATACACGTTCTTCAATATTTTCATGTACATAAGATCATTCCAGTTGAGCCAGTTGAAAAATATTTTGAACCAAAGAGTATACTAATTGAGATTCATAAGAAAAAAAGATAAGAAGAAATCAATACCTTATCTTCAGCGAGCAGAGGAAGGTGAAGAAGAATCTCGAGAGGCTCAGCATCAGCAGCCATAACCACGAACTCAGAGATCCCACGGTTCAATGTTTTCGTAGCTTCATTGGCTCCTTTCTTAAGCTGTTTGTAATTCGTAGCTTGTTGAACAAGATCGAGGATTGTTATCGATAGCTGAGAATCAGCTAATGGGTACGCCTTAGGGTTCACTGCTTCTACCGTCATCTTCTTCGTCTCCGAGTTCGTGAGTTCTGAGAGAAGCGATGAGAAGAAGTTGCTAGGGTTTTTGATTTGGTTATGTGACAATGATTTTAGGGTTTTATAAAGGTGACTTAGCGATGCCTCTGTTTAAGCCAGAAGGTTTTAGATCTTTTATTAAAAAAACAAATAAAGAATAATAATAGATAAATAAAATATTCCCACTTGTAATTTACAAATCGTCGAATTCTCTGAGTCTTAGATCGTGTTTGCTTCACCGAATCGAACAGAGAGAAGATCTCAGAAGAAGGAGACGAGAAAGAGAGAGAGAGAGAGAGAATTAGGGTTTAAAAGAGGAGAAATCGATATTGGTGAGAATTTACAATGGCGGAGGATCTGGTTCTAGATACGGCGATCAGAGATTGGGTTCTGATTCCTCTCTCCGTTGTGATGGTTCTCATCGGTATTCTCAGATACTTTGTCTCCAAGCTCATGCGTTCTTCTCCAGCTCCCGATGCTAAGATGGTCAAAGAAGGGTAAGTGTTCTTCAGTTCTCTGATCTATGCGTAGAATATATCGTCTCGTTTGCTGATTCGATTCGGGTTTCGTTTGTAACTGGTATTGTGTTTGTGTTTTGTAGGCAAGTTATTATCAGAGCTCGAAATCTAAAATCCGGTGCCAATTTCATACCGCCGAGATCATTCCGCACTCGGAGACTCTACTATAGCAATGAGGTATGCTTTTCTGAAGATTTGCCCTTTCGCTTGACCCAGTTTTTGATTTGAGAAATTCGTGTCTTTAGTGACTCTTTCAAGTTGTGCGATACGTACATAGTATTCTTTGCGATGTATTGTGTTCTTCCAGTACTCTAATTTACTTGAAGATCTTTGTTTGTCAAAATCAACATGAGTTCTGTAATGCTTGTTTAATCGAATTGAAGACATTGCCAATGCGTAAAGTGTTATGAATTTTTCAGTCATGTGCATAGTTATCATTTTTCTAGAAATTAGCTACCTTTCGACGATTATTGTGCTACTAAGCTAGGTATAGTTGGTTATTAGCTGCGCAAAATTTGGCACGAGGAAAGGTTTCAATTGTCTATCGTCATTCTTTTATTATCTCTTTGTTTTGCTTGTGTGAAACTAGAGTGATCCATAGGGGTTATCAGCTGTGCAGATTCTGATTAGTGTTTTTAGTCTTCATCTTTGGATTAGTGATGCTTAGAAAGTATTTGTTGATTGCTGCAGGAGAATGGTTTGCTACATGTTCCCAAAGGCCAAGGCACAAACCCTCAAGCTCAGATGTTTTCTGATCCTAACATGGCCATGGATATGATGAAGAAAAACCTTTCGATGATTATTCCCCAGGTGGATGGAGTTTGAAAATATCCATTTCTGTCTTTTTTTGTTGATTGGTAATATAAGAAACTGATACAACTTACCATTTTGCAGACGCTCACTTTTGGATTTGTCAACTTCTTCTTCTCTGGATTTGTTGCAGGTTTATTTCCTATAGAAATTCCTGCTCTTTTTATTTTTCTGTCACTTTATAAATTATATCTACACTTGGCTGCTGCACTGCTATTTTGAGCACCAGTTAATCGTCTACTTGATTCTCTAGTCTATGCAAGTTTTTATGTTTCCATAGCATCTGAGTCTTCTTCGTTTATTTTACAGCCAAAATACCATTTCCACTTACTCAAAGGTTCAGATCAATGTTACAGAATGGCATCGACTTGAGCACTGTCGATGTTAGCTATGTGAGTAGTCGTTCCTGGTAAGTACCCAAGTTACATAAAGGACTCAATGTTATCTCGGTCCTTTCCGGATTTTCGATATGCTAATCATAGTTGCTTGCTTCTTTCTCTTGTATCATGAGCTTTACTTTTACGTTTCAGGTACTTCTTAAACTTGTTTGGATTAAGAGGCTTGTTCAGTCTCATTCTCGGAGATGAAAATGGTTAATTCCCACGTAACAATTTTTCTCCACATTGCTCAAAAGCTAAACCTTCTAATAAGTTTTGGTCATAATGGTATACTTTGTTGCTTCTTACGCAGCCATTGATGACACACAACGTATGATGCAAATGGGTGGGCTTGGATTTGATGCATCAAAGGTATTCATATTTATATATCAACCTACTTTGTGATCATTTTTCAAAATGTTGTTTAATTTTCACTCTACTTTTCATGTTCGATGATCTGTGGACATATCTGATTCAGTATCATTTGCATTGAAATTTTGATCAGAGCCTGAGTGCAGAGAAAGATGGTCTCGACATAATTCAGCATGAATGGGCTCTACCTCGATTTGAGCAGCGCGCAGAATCCGTATTAAGAAAACTCGTTAAGTAGAGACAAAGACGATAAATGTTGAAACCAAAAAAAAGCTGTAGAAACTTCGACATGGAATCGAATCTGAACGCTTAATTCTTCTATTTCAGCTTGGTAGATTCTGCTTCTGTCTTTCTTTTTTGCTTTTTTTTTTTTCTGATTTTGTTGTATAACAATGCTCTCTCTATAAAATCTTCTCCAGGTACAAACAATTTCCGGTTTAATTTTGATACGATTTGGTTTAGACTGTATTACGAAATTGGACAGCTTCGGTTTATTTTGGTAAGATTTGGAGATGTTTTGACACTCCGATTAAATCAGCGGCCTAAACCGGTGCAGGTGGAGCTTATGGGTTTTTTGAACAAAGTGCTTATGGTTAGAAAGTAAAAAAATCAAACAATTTTAGCAGTGTTATAACACATATCATATATGGACTCTTATACCGGCCCATTAGGCCCATCAGGGCATTATACTTAACCTAGATTCCCTATGTACTCTATATATACATTCCAGTGATTAATAAAGTTTTTAAGAAGTTTTCACAACACGTTATCAGCACGATAAGACTCTCTGAGCGAAAAACCCTAATAAATCCGGCCATCACCAAAACCCTAAAAGCAAGTCGAAACTTAAAAGACGCATATCTTCCAAACCGTGAGGAACCAGAAGACGATCTACATATCAAATCGAAGCCCTCGACGAGACGAATCTACTGGTGAAAACCGTTTGTCGATCCAACGTCGGACGCGCCCTCACGCACACTTACAGTACACGACGATCAACCGAAAAAAAAAAAAAAAAAAAAAACCAGATCCGAGTTTTTCCTTCTTCAACCAGCAGCTTCTCCAGTTTTGGTGATCAATCCTTGGAATTTGTAGCGGCTAACTGAGGTCTATTAGCTCCCAGTTTCATTAGCCTGTCAGAAATCCAAAGGTGGAAAAGATATCTTCTAAAACTGAGAGCCATAGAACCTGTTGTTTAAACACTTCAAAACCCTATAAAAAAAAAAAAAAAATCGATCTCTAATTGATTGAAAGTGTTTGATACTCTGATGATTGATTGATAACTTGTTGATTGATTGTTTAAATTACAAGTTTATGCATGTTCAACGGTTTTAAACTCGTTTTATAAAACCCTAATCTACAAAAACCTAACAACCGTTTTTGGCCATGTTTATGGCATAAACCTATTCGATTTTCTTCATGTTTAATAAGCTTGTTGCAGCTTATTTTGATTGTTGATTCTCTTGCTTGAAACACTTGATTGAATAAACTAAGAAAATCAACCCTAAATCCTAAGCTTGATTCACGATTTTGTAATCTTCAAAATCGTAAGTCATAATGCTTAAACCCTAGTCCTTTTCACGTGATTTCTTTGTTGTCCTTGTGAAACTATTAAAACCATCGACCACAGATCCTATATATCTCGAAATCACATCCAAAATATGTTTTCCAAACCGTTAAAACCCTAGATAAAACCCTAATCATATTCGGCTCCCCTAGGGTTCCTCCTAAACCGCCTAAAACCGGCTAAACCTGGTTCTCATTAACCGAAATTATATTCGGCTTTAACCGATTAAATCACAGCTATTAAACCGACATCATGTTCGGGGTAACTAAAACCATACCCTTTAAAATTTATTATTTCCGAGAAAGTTCCCTCTAATAGAAAGTTTCCTCATATAAAAACTTTCCTCATATAGAAATTTTCCCGACATAGAAACTTTCCTCATTTAGAAAATTACCCAAATTAGAAACTTTCCAAATTTAGAAACTTTCCTAAAATAGAAATATTCTCAAAATAGAAAGTTTCATCATCAGCATTCAAAATTTTCTCAAAACAATCCCTAACAAAATCAATCTCATGTTTCAGATGTCAAACATTCAGAAATGTGAATTCGAGGCCCTTCACGTCTCCGGGGATAACTACCTCGAGTGGGCCCTAGACATGCGCTTGTTCCTTGCATCGAAAGAACTCGATGCGTGTATTACCGACGGTAACACCGCATCCCGTAAGGGACAGTCTCAGGCGATATGTCACATACGCCATCATCTGGCCCCGAGCCTTAAGCAGCAATATCTCACTCTTGAGAATCCACTTGAATTGTGGCAAGCGCTGAAAAAGCGATATGACCATCAGAAAATGGTCCAGTTGCCTCAGGCAGATTTCGACTGGAAGAACCTTCGGTTCCAGGACTACAAATCCGTAGATGATTACAACAACGAACTCTTTCGTATTGTTGCCATCCAGAAACTCTGTGGCGAGGATGTGACAGATAATGATCTCCTCGAGAAAACATTATCCACATTCAGCACAGAGAATGTTGTGCTCCAACAACAATACCGTGCAATGAAACACACATTGTACGAAGACTTGTTGTCCTGTCTTCTCCTCGCTGAGAAGAATAACCAGCTGCTTATGAGGAACAACGCTATGAGGCCCCCGGGATCGGCTCCTGTCCCAGCTTCTCGTCAAGAGTCCTACCATGTTCAACCCGATAGATCCTCAGATCACCGCCGTGGACGTGGTAATGGACGTGGTAATGGCCGAGGACATGGACGTGGAAGACGTGGACGCGGACATGGTCGCGGCAACCGACCTAACCTCAGTTATGGTCCTGGTCGTGGTCGAGGCATCACCAAGCCGACCCGCCACACCAACCCCGATCACTCTGCTTGTACCAGATGTGGGATGTTCAACCACCTAACAAAGCAATGTCGCACCCCCAAGATCCACTGCGATCTATACCAGAAGTACGGAAAAGCTCCTGCTGAAGCCAACATGACTCAGCCAGTCGATGCTGCTAACCTGGAAGGTGACGACCTCCTTGATGATGAGAACACTACAAACGAGCAGACCGACCCCATGGACTATGAAACAGCTGATCTCCTCGATTAATTCAATCATCTGAAACTCTGATACAATTTGATTTTGTTCTTTATTTTTTTCATTTTGGGATTTGTTTCATTTTGTTTTTTTTTCCATTTGCCTTTATTCTCAGACACTGCTTTACTTTATGATTTATCACATTTTCTGAATTCCTCAATACTGAATTCTATCTTCTATTCATAATGAAGCACACCAGCAAATGGAAACCATAGTCGTAGATAGTGGATCCAGCCACACTATCTTAAGAAACAAAAGTTACTTCATAAACCTAACCTATCAAACCGCAAATATTAGCACCATCGCGGGTCCCTCAAACCTTATCGAAGGATATGGCCATGCCTATGTGTTGCTATCAAATGGCACACAACTTGAAATACCAGATGCTCTATATTCTCCTAGTTCGAAGAGAAATCTTCTGAGCTTCAAGGATATAAGACAGAATGGTTTCCACATAGAAACCCAAGGTCAAGGGAACAAAGAATCCCTCCTAGTCACTAAAACCGTAGACGGCCATAAACAAATCCTCGAAACCATACCCGCGCTCTCTACTGGACTTTACCATGCTAAAGTCAGCATGATTGAAGCTAATACCACTCTCAAAGCCCGGTTTACTGATTATACTATTTGGCACGACCGGCTCGGTCATCCCGGTGCAAATATGATGCGTAAACTAATTCAAAACTCTCAAGCGCATACCCTCAAAGAAAACCGAGCTTATCCTCAACACCTCATGTGCACAGCTTGTTCTCAAGGCAAATTGATCACTCGGCCTTCACCAGTTAAAATCTCTAAACAAACACTTCATTTCCTAGAAAGAATCCAGGGCGATATCTGTGGACCTATACATCCATCTTCCGGACCATTCCGATACTTCATGGTCCTTATAGACGCATCGACCCGTTGGTCATATGTTTGTCTCTTGTCCTCTCGGAACCAAGCCTTCGCTAGGTTCTTGGCCCAAATCATAAAATTGCGGGCCTATTTCCCTGACTTCCCACTAAAGACTATCCGCCTTGACAATGCCGGTGAATTTACCTCACAAGCGTTTAATGACTACTGTATGGCCATGGGGGTAACCGTGGAACATCCTGTAGCACATGTCCATACTCAAAATGGATTGGCTGAATCATTCATTAAACGCATTCAATGGATAGCCCGACCATTACTCATGAGATCAAAGCTCCCGGCCTCAGCATGGGGACATGCAGTATTACATGCTGCTGAACTCATACGCATCCGGCCATCTAGTGAACACAAATATTCCCCATCCCAACTACTCTCGGGTCATGAGCCAGACATCTCCCATCTCAAAACATTTGGGTGTTCAGTATATGTACCTATTGCTCCACCACATCGAACCAAAATGGGACCTCAAAGAAGGATGGGAATATATGTTGGTTTTGACTCTCCCACCATCATAAGATATCTCGAGCCAACCACTGGAGATCTCTTCAAGGCCAGATATGCGGATTGCCAATTCGATGAATCGGTATATCCCTCTTTAGGTGGTGAGACAAACAAGCTGGTCAAAGATCTTTCATGGAATCAAACATCATTAAATTGGCAAGATCCTCGGACTCTAGAATGTGATTCAGAGATCCAAAAGATTATTCATTATCAAAAGCTAGCTAATCAATTGCCAGATTCCTTTGCTGACCCGACCAAAGTAACCAAATCGTACATCCCAGCTTGTAATGCACCAGTACGAATAGCTGTCCCAACGGGACAGACCCAAGTTGCTACAGAGTCTGCACCACGTCTCAAACGGGGCAGACCTCTTGGTTCCAAAGATAAGAATCCCCGGAAATCAAAGAAAGGTGCAATAACCGAAACCGGGATTCCTGCAATATCAGACATAGCCGCGGCTGAGACTCAATCTAATGAACCCTCAATGGAAGTTCGGGACGCCGAATCTCCAGGTTCAGAAGATAACAATGAGATCTCCATCAATTACAATATGTCCGGAATACAATGGAATCGAAAAGAAGTCGACTTAAATGCACTCTTTGCATACAAAGTAGCACTTGATGTTGCGCTCACGCAAGAGGATCTAGAACCCACGTCAATAACACAGTGTACACATCGAACAGATTGGCTAAAATGGAAAGAAGCCATAAACGTGGAGTTAAAGAGTCTCAAACTCAGAAACGTGTTCGGTCCGATCATCCGGACCCCATCACACATCAAGCCAGTGGGCCACAAATGGGTCTTTGTGCGCAAAAGGAATGAACTCGGTGAAGTCGTTCGATACAAAGCACGGCTTGTAGCACAAGGATTCTCACAGAGACCCGGAATCGATTATGAGGAGACTTATTCTCCAGTGGTGGATGCAACAACATTCCGATTCCTCATAAGTCTGGCCATAAGAGAAAATCTTGATCTGCGGTTAATGGATGTTGTAACCGCATATCTCTATGGGCCCCTGGACAACGAAATATATATGAGACTCCCAGATGGCATTGAACTAAAAGACAAAAATGCATCTCGAGATCAATACTGCATCAGGCTGAACAAATCCTTGTATGGACTGAAACAAAGTGGGCGTATGTGGTACAACCGCCTCAGCGATTACCTCATCAAAGAAGGCTACAAAAATGACCCCATCAGTCCATGCATCTTCATCAAGAAGTACTCAAACAAAGGATTTGTAATCATAGCAGTATACGTGGATGATCTAAACATCCTTGGAACATCTGGTGAGATCTCCCAAACAGTCGACTGCTTAAAAGCAGAATTCGAAATGAAAGACCTAGGCAAAACAAAGTACTGTTTGGGATTACAACTTGAGTACATCAAAGGAGGAATCCTTGTGCATCAATCGGCTTATATCGAAAAGGTACTCAAGCGATTTAATATGGACCAAGCTCACCCATTGACCAGCCCAATGGTAGTTAGAAGCTTAAGTGATGACCCTCTTGGTCCCAAAAAGGATGATGAAGAAATCCTTGGTCCTGAAAAGCCATACCTCAGTGCTGTAGGAGCGTTAATGTACCTGGCTAGTCACACTAGACCAGACATATGTTTCGCCGTGAACCTCCTCGCTCGATATAGTTCATCTCCAACTCAGAGGCACTGGAACGGTATAAAACATCTCCTAAGATACCTTTGAGGTACTCAAGACTTAGGACTCTTCTATACTAACCAAAATAAAGATGGGTTAGTCGGCTTCGCCGATGCAGGATATCTATCAGATCCGCACACTGCCAAGTCTCAAACTGGCTACGTTTTTACGCATGGAGGAACAGCCATCTCTTGGAGATCAATGAAGCAGACACTCACTGCCACTTCATCAAACCATGCTGAAATCCTAGCCATTCATGAGGCTAGTAGGGAATGCGTCTGGCTGCGCTCCATGACTCAGCACATCCGCAGAGATTGTGGTATGGACGAAGACACACAGCCCACGGTGATGTATGAAGACAACGCGGCATGCATAGCTCAGCTCAAAGAAGGATATATCAAAGGAGATCGAACGAAGCACATTCTACCGAAGTTCTTCTCAACCTCAGACTGGCAGAAGGACGGCACTCTCAGCGTTCACCAGGTCCGATCCAGTGAGAATTCAGCTGACCTCTTCACCAAATCATTGCCTACTTCAACACACTGGAAGCTCGTCAAACAGATAGGAATGTATAGACTTAGAGATCTGCAGTGATGCTACAATCAGGGGGAGTAATGCGTGTTGTACTCTTTTTCCTTCACTATGGTTTTGTCCCACTGGGTTTTTCCTGGTAAGGTTTTAATGAGGCAACATTCCCCAGCGCATTATCGAGATCTCGATTGAGTAGCTGACCCGGTTCACTCGTCCAAGGGGGAGTGTTATAACACATATCATATATGGACTCTTATACCGGCCCATTAGGCCCATCAGGGCATTGTACTTAACCTAGATTCCCTATGTACTCTATATATACATTCCAGTGATTAATAAAGTTTCTAAGAAGTTTTCACAACAAGCAGGTTTTTTTGTTGATTATAATTTTTTCAAGACGCTTTTGGTCAATTATTCGTCAAATTCATAGACAAACTACAACAAATTTACTGTTTCGTTCTTTAATTTGCCAATTTTTTATAGAGTTTGTTACTTTTGTATATTAGCGAGTTCAGTGACGAATTAAAACAAATTTATTCTTTTTGACGTAAACAAATGCATTCTATTATAATAAACACGTTATTCCTTCATTTTACAGATTTTATACTTTTTGTGGTTCCTGTTCTTGTTCCGAGAATTGGCAATCAGATGTTATAAAATAGCAAGACTTGTTTTTTATATTGGTAAAACCAGGCATCGATGCTAAAAGGTCACACTCTTATACAAGTCCTCTTCAAACAAAGTATCAAAAGAAAAGCATCGTAATAAAATACTAAAGCAAGAAAAGAATCGAATGTTATGTTGTTCTGTAAAGATTTGTTTGAATACAAAACATTGGAACTTGGAGGAAGCAATGGTTCAAAGAAGTACAAGGAATAAACAGATAATAAAAGAGGTGTCGTGAGAGAATTAAAGTAGAAGAAATAGAATCTGGAAAACAAAAGGAAAAGATGAAAATGAAAGAGCTACACATATGTCATCTGCACATCTACACATATGTCCAAGTGTACCATACCACATAAAATGGACCACTTCACAAATCACAACGAAGAAAGAGCTTTCTTGAACTTACATGGAAGAAAATGAAACTTCGTGTTCTTATTTCTTTTAGCAAGACACTAAATATATAATTAAAACCTCAGTCTTATGAAAAAACTGATTACTAGGATGTTATAGAATAAAGATGAGTTAACATCAATTTGTTTTCCACGCATGACATTGCCCACACATATAATAAACACTTTAAAGCAGCACAAGGTAGTTTACTACACACTTCAGTGATGTTCTTACCTGTAATTATGACACATCAGGCATCATCAATATGCTTAACCATTTTTATTTTAAATTTTAATTTCATTTTATGTTTTACTTTTCGAAGATCAAATCTATAAATACCATCCTTCTCTTCGCTTAACTCACTCACAAATCTCTCCCTCCTTTTCTAAATATATATATGCACACTTGTTTCCATTGTTCATAATTGTCTTCTTCAGATTCTCCAAAATGGCTGGTGTTGAGGTAATATTCTTCATTTTTTATCAGTGAATCGTATAATTTAAGTATATTTTGGTACTCGGAAAAACCTCAAAACTTTATATAGCAGCATGCATGAGTGAGATTATAAATTTCATGTCATATTTTGTACTTGGTAAGTTTTTAGACCATATCAGTGTAAAAGTCTCCACATGAGATCAACAATTGATATCGATGATGCGTCAATATAATTGAACTAACCATAATTTCTGATAACAAAACATTTTGTGCAAGTGTTTTATATCTCCTCTTTTATTGTAGAATTTGTAAATAGTCTATCAGTATTAGTTGTTGATCAAGAAATCCTCTGTAAAAGCTGAAGCTCGATGGATTTCTTACCGCAGGTTGGGAAAATAGTAGCAAACACAGAAGAGAAGAACACAACCGAGCCAACCACCGAGGCATCTAAGGAAACCGTTGAGACAGATGACTCAGCCACGGTGGTTGAAGTTGAAATCAAAGAAGACGACGAAATACCAAAGGTAGAAAAAGAGATTGAAGAAACCGAGACAGCTCCGGTTAAAGAGGAGAAACCGGTTGAAACTCCCGCAGCTGTGGAGGAGAAAGGTGTTGCTAAACCGGCGGCAGAAGACACAAAGGCTGTTGAAGTGAAGACAGTGTAATAACCTTTTTTTTAACCCCATGAGAAGTGAGAATTTCCTTTTTGTTTTGTTGTTGCTAAATCCTATATATTTTATAAAATTTCGCATATTTATATGATTATTGTAATGATATTTAATATACTAATGCTATATCATGGTTTTCTCTTGTCTATGATGAGTTCATTGAGATGTCACATTAGAGTTTGATGTCTCTCTGGTGAAAAGAACAAAAAAAGCTTTCTCTTTAGAGTTCTTGTAGTGGAACCAAACTCCTATTTGGCTATTTTGCCAATCAAAGTTAGTTATTTACCCTAATAATGTTTAGTCTTTACTTTACATGAATCGACCAGTCCAACAAACTCCAAACAGAAATGTAATTGAAAACGAAATGTTAAAACGACACTGTTATTTTATAACTTTTCCTCCTTGACATAAGTTTAAAAAGAGATTAATTTATTCATAAGCTAAACATCAAAAAAAAAAAAAACAAGAAATTAAGAAAGGTCTTTTCACCTTTCTCCCCCGGTCATAAACAGAGCTTGACCACAGCTAAATCTGTACACCAAAAGCACCAATCTACGAACCTAATGACCAGAGAGAGAGATAGAGACACACTATTTCTTCACCATTTACCGAAACTGGAGCTGACATGATCTTGAGCGATGAATCGAAGTCGTTGCTCCATGAGAGCCATCGACGTGTAGCTTGGTAAAGAGAGACGGTAAAAGCAAGTGTGAGACACTGGAAGACGATCATTAGCTTCATATAATCTATATATGTAAAGCTTTGACGGTAGCCCTCTAAACCCTTCCACTGGTATAAACTTAATCGATGTCCAAAAGAAGAGTACACTCCTCCGCTCTTCCTCTGTCATCTTCTTCATAATCTACAAGTAAAGGATTCAGAAATTCAGTATAAGGGATTTAACAAAAATGGGTTATATAAAAGTTGAGCTTTTTACGTATTACCTTCCAGAACCAGTCTATTTGGTGGTCGTTCTCGTTGAATCCGTTGTACTGTGTATGCGCTTTCCAATCATCTATGCTTAACGGGTTTTCACCTCCTCGAAGCATCCCATCGAGATCCTCAGGGTAAATTCTCCTGAAAAATGATTTGGTCATTTCGGTATCTGAAAGGACATCAAAGAAACCCTGTGAAAATTGCTCCACTTGCTCGGAGATTGATCTGGCGAATTGATGTTCGATTAGGAGTTTGACGTATTGATCCCTGTTCCTGCTGGTAACAGCAACTGATTTCCCGCCTGCACATAGCTCTAGTGTATCCCTTTTTCCAAGCACCTCGGTTTCCAACACAAATGTTAGACCAAGACCTCCGTTTGAATCGAACTCCACTGGATCCATTTCTAGAATCTGTTTGCAGCTATTGTACATGATTCTATCGGTGTGCTTGATATCTTCCAAACAAATTTTCCGTCCGGCCAACAGTAAGAAGAAAACACGATCGAATAGCACCCCTACTTGAACTTTGTGCATCAAAGCTAAAGCAATCACACGACCTGTGAACTCGAAGAAATCTGGATGCAATGGATCCACCTGGGATGCTGAATATAAGACAAGACTTCAATATCATTGGAGAGCATCAAACAATACTGTATATCTACTTAGAGCAAAGAGTGACATGCTTAGATTTGTTTCTTGCTTCTAATGGCTTCTTAAATAATTGATGCTCCCTTTAAGATAGTTAAGCAAGAAAAGAAGAAACACAATCAAGCTGTCTGTAATAAATATAGGACTATGATAAGTCTACTAGTAATCCTTCAGTATAGAGATCCTAAGATGATATAACAACAATCGTTTAGAATTGAAGTGCATCCTCGTTCATCAAATTACAAGCACGGTAGGAACTATACACCATATACAATACTGACATACTAACTATGTTCTCAGGATTCTAAGAAAGCAAACTGAAAAAAGGGTAACAGCAAATGGGATTTCAGACAGTAAGAACAATTATGAATGTTCAAGGAAGGTCCAAATTCACTTGTATCTAGTCTAGTGGTGTCATGAGAAAAGTAACAAAGCTTACCTGGATTTGGAGAGAATCTTCTAAAATCATCAGCAGATCGACGAAAGAGAGTATTTTGCGGATTAAATATCTCTTGACAAACCAAATAGAACCATTCTCTTAGAACACCAGGACCTGTAGCTTCCTCATTCTTGAATTCCATGAACAGTCCACCATGAAGTGCCCCAGGGGTTGCGCTCGCTATGTACTCAAACGATTCAGATAACAAATTGGACCGATCAATGAGCATTTCGTGCATCTCCTCATAGTCTTCTTTCACGTCAGGAAACAACAGCATTGCCAAATGCCTCCTAGATTCAAAGGTTGTAGCTTCCTTGTACTCAAAGATCCATCGGTGATCATCGCCTCTTTTTGCAAATTTCAAAACGATGGCGCAGAATGAAACCTTCCTGTTATTCAAAAGACAAGCTACCTGTTCCTTGGCACCTTGATAGAGATCAGACATTGAATTGATGATCTTCAGAATAGCAAGAAACTGAGACCATTTTGCAGACACAGCTTCAATATTGGCAACTCCTCTTCTACCCAACAAAGTTTCGATTCTCAACATACAAATGTCCATTGTAGTCAACAGCTTTTTGAACATCCGAGAAAGCTTTTCAATCTCCTTTTCCAATCCGCTGTTTCGCAGAGGTAAAGCAATGGGAATGCAGGTGGCAGAATGGAGTACAATGACCCTCCTCAAGCATCTCCAAAAGGAAGAGAATTTCTGAACGTCACATAAACTAGGCCCTTCATTACCGAGTAACTCTGACACCACACCATCAGCACACTCGGTTACGAACGGGAAAATCTCGTCCATAAAAGCCAACGATCCACAATGAATTCGAGCATCATCCTCACTAAGCGATTCCAGCATTGATCCCAAGGTGTTCCGGGAAGCAAGATACAGCTTGTTATTCGAGCAAACGTTCCTTAGCAATCTACAGAACTCTAAAACGACCGGTAAACAATAGTTCTTCTGTTTCTGAGGCAAACCTATGCAACTATTCAAGAAGAGCTTGATGGAGCTCTTAGCACAGGCTTTGTTAATCTCTAACTTAGAAGCGTAGAGCATTACCAGAGCAGCTGGAACCGAAGAGCTCGAGAAAATCTTGATATACTTGGCAGTCGCATTCTCTTCTTTTACAGGAATCGAGGCGAAAAACTTAACGAGCTTCTCGTTGATGTTGTCGATGGAGAAGAGAATCTCGCCTCTGTGCATTCGAGAGATTGTGTACATGATATCATCAACAGTTTGCCAAGCCACCGGATGCTCCGTGCTCTGCATCCTTCCAACAAGCTGGAGCGAAGCGTCTTGCTCGATCGAGTAGTAGCTGAGAGTGTGCTCGAGCTGCAGCTGCTTACCTTTGTAGATAACCCGTTGCTCCGTCACCGGAATCTTAGTTTTCCACTCGATTCTCTCGTGAAGAATCAACACGGTGTCGTTTCTATCGGCGTGGATCACGATCGTTTTCCCTCCTGACATCATCCTCACGAAGATTTGCAAACGAGTCGACTCGGACAACCCGGACGACTCGGGAACGCGAGAGGAAGAAGAGGAAGAACACTCCGCGGCCGGAGCAAACGACCGATTCAGGCCGGAATTGCCGCCGTAGCTCCACGTGAGAAACGATTTCTGAAACGCCGACAAGTGATCGGCGTTTACCTCGTGCCTCTTCATCTTTAGGAGGAGATCACCGCCGTGATCAGGGGACGACGAGGCGTAGTCGTCGAGTTTCCGTTTGTGATGATCGGTTCCAGCCACGGCGGAGAAAGAGGATCGGTTAGAGTTGGAGGAATCGGCGCGGCTTAGAGTCATCGGGAGACGAAATTCACCTCTCCCTCGCCGCCGATGGTGAAAGCTTATCTAATCGACGGAAAAAGAGGTATAGACGGAAGTAATTCCGTGTATAGGTGTATGTAAAGGCGAGAAGGAGGAAGAGGAAGGGACCGAGAGAAAGTGATCGGAGGTTTCGTCTGGGTTTAAGTTTAGCCGTCAATTAATTTCTTCTCTACGCCATTGTTAAACAGACGCACCCCATAGATTTATATTAGAAATATATAATGTATTTTCGAAAAGATAATAATTACTCCTACAAAAAATATTTCCCTGTTAATTACGTGTGTCAATTTAGGTTAAAAACTGATTCTTCCTTTAATCCGGTAAAGAAACAAAATAACAAAAAGATGGTTTGGGTTTTTTTCTTTTATAACTTTTTCTTTGAACAAGTTTATCAAGGTGTTGAACAATATGCTAGTCAAATATAATAGAATTCATTAAAATACTTGTTTTTTTTAACATTGGGAAATCTGTTTTTTTTTTATATAGGAAAATTCGTAAAATCGTTAAAAATTAGTAGTATTTTTGAATAAGTTTTGTTAAGATCTTGAACAATAACACCAAGTCAAAATATTTGTATTCATTGAAATAATTGTTTTTGGAGATATTGTAAAATATGTTATTTTTGGTTTATAGTAATATTTATAGAATCGTCAAAAATTAGTAATTTTCAATAATTTTTTTTTTTGTCAATAATTTTATTTCTATCGGAAGAATCAATAAATTAGATTTTCAACCAAAAATAATATCTATATCTAAATTGAGATATAACCAACGTAATACAATTTGGAAAGGTGTTTATGTAGGTAATAACCAAAGAGAAAATTCGTGTCGAATAAATAGAAAGAAAATAAAAGATAAAATTTGTAAGAGAAATGTATCTTAATTTTTATTTCTTTTGTTATATTATTTTTTGAGAATCTTAATTACATGTTTGATTGTATTCATATTATTATCTGTAGAATTTATTGTTAACATATTTGATGACATTGATTTTTTTACAAATATTTATAGAATTATCGAAAATTAATAGTTTTTAATAATTTTATTTCTACCGGAAGAATCAGCAAATTAGATTTTTAACCAAAAATAATATCAATAACTAAATTAAAGTTTGACCAGCGTAATACAACTGGCAAAGTGTTTATATAGATAAAAACCAAAGATAAAATCTGTGTCGAATAAATAGAAAAAAAAAAGATAAAATTTGTAAGAAATGTATCTCAATTTTTATTTTTTTTTGTTATATTGTTTATTGAGAATCTTAATTACATGTTTGTTTTTGCTATGAAAACGCTTTCGAGCACAAATATCGAAACTTTCCTAAATTGTTTTAGATCTATTTTTCTAAATTTCATCTTTTTTTCTTTACCCAAAATAACCTCATCTTCTTTCATCCACTGCCTCTGACCGGAATTCACTTTCCACCCTCGACTGCGAGTCGGAGGGTCCGTTTCTCTGTCTCTTTCCGCCAGTCACTTATGATTCTGTTAATGATAACCCACTTCTAGCGCTGTGCTAAGATACATCAACACTCTTGACCTCTGGAAGTTGTTTCTCAAGTGACCCCATTCAAGAGACTCTTAGAAGCCAAGCTTGAAGACCTCTCCCTTTCTCAGGAACTACAGTCCACCAAAGACTGAAGACCTCTTAATTTCTAGCTTTGTGCTAATCTAACTTCACTTATCATCTCAAAAGGATTCTCATCCAAGCTTTTTAGCTCTATATAAACTCATGGACACTTACCATCTCAAATTATATTCCCTCATCTAGCATTGCTGTCTTGCTGATGAGGATGAATGGCTAGATGATGCAGATCTTTATGAGGAAAACGAACTGGAAGATTTGCTGGAAGTTGACGATATATTTGGTGAAGTGATTCACTGGATGTATCTCCTAGTTTCTACTGCAATAGAACAGTTTGTAATTGTAATATAAAGGATTCGGATTCCAGAGGACCAGCGTTGCACTATGACTCTACGAGGGTTGAAACAAAGCTAAAACGAAAATTATTGTTGGGGGTTGTAACGTAACACGCAAGAAAATGAAATAGACGATTTAGAATTCAATGAAACAAAGCACTAGACTAAGGCAATTCGCAGAACTTTCAGAGATAGCAATCGAATTACTAATCAGTGTACGGTTTAAATGCAATTCTTGAACTCAAACATAAATGCATATCGATCCACTGTCGTGGCACCAATAACTTTGTCTAACAACCTAAATTGTAAAATGTCGTTTGAACCTAGAAAATTGGAGACAAGCATTAACAAGCAGGTTTGATCTGTTCACCGCCTCAACATCAATTGTCGTTGGCTAAGGAAGAATCACTCACCAAAATTTATTCTAGCAACCTATTACACTTTTGATGAATAGATTAATCTAAAATCGCAGATTGAGTGATCAGTTCAATCTAAGCATTAAGAACAACTATGGTGAAGACAATCTAATTAAGCCATATTTGCATTCAATCACTAACTCATGAAAATCTCTTTGAACACCTTAATCTAGCTAAGAGATCTACTCAGACATGGAGAAAAGAGACACAGCAAAAGATGAAAAGAAATTCATGAATAAAAATAAGAGATAACAAAGGTTCAGAATTCTTCTCAAGTGTTGGAGGAATTCTTCTCCCAAATTCTTACAAGCAAAAACTCTCCAAAGTCTAGAAAATTGTAAAATAAAGTGTAAGTCTCAAAGTAGGCGGCTCTGGACTCTTTTTATTCCTTCTCACGCGTTTCAGGAATAAGTAAAACCAGTTTCCATATTTTTCACCGGAAGTTGGAGCAGATGCTCTAGGAAAAGGTAAAATCGAGAGCAGGTGCTCCAACCAAAATTTCTCCCATGAGCGTGTGAAATTGGCTCCCTTTGCTCAGCTTCAGCTCCTGTTTGCTCCAGTGTTACCAGTTACTCCAATTATCTCATGAACCCTCCTAGTTACCTGAAACAACCTGAAATAAAGACTCCAAAGACTCTTAAAACGATCAGTAAACACAGGTTAGAATGAGTCAAAATCTCCACTTATCATGAAGAGCATCTCCGATTTGAAGCAGAAATTGCATCGCCAATGGAAGAAGACCTGGTGGAATCGGAACCGAAATTGAAAGAATGCTCGATGGAAATTGCTTGTCGATTCTGAGGCTATGGATGGGACTGGAAAACCAGAAAAAATCTATATGGGTAAGAAGAAACAGATTCCACATTCACCGGTAGCTATCAAAATCTCTCTGAATAAAAGAAGCCTCGCAAAGGGTCGATTTTCACCGAAGAACAAAAGGAAAGGGAAAAATCCTGGATCTGGGCCAGGCCCAAGCAAAGTGAAAAAGGCCTCAGCTAAAGAGGAAAAGCATCAAAAGGCCTCAAGGCCCAACTCTGCAACAACTTATGGTTTGGGAGGAGCCCAAAAACCAGTTAACCGCCATAAATGAACGTGATCAGATGGAATTGTCAAGGGATGCGAGCCGACTTGACAAAGGAACACCTAGAAGAACTCCACCATTGATTTTTACCTCGTTTTATGTTTTTATCGGTAACTAAGAACAATCGCTCTTTTCTGCAAGATATGCAAGTGTATTTTGGCTATGACCAGGTCTATATCGTCGAACCGAGAGGTTGCAGCGGCGGTTTAGCCTTTTTTATATGGATAAACCTACGGTTTCTATTTCTTATTCAGATAAGCGTTTGATTGATGTAAAAACTGTTTTAGACGGATATAAAATCTTTATGACCTTCGACTAAGGAGATCCGGTTATGAAAAATCGAGAACATGTCTGGGAACGTCTTACCAGGATGAGCCTATCCAGAAAAGACGCTTGGTTTATAATAGGAGATTTCAACGATATAACAGGAAACCATGAGAAACAGGGAGGTCGACGGAGATCAGAATTCTCTTTTGTCCATTTTTGGACTATGTTGGATAATTGTGGAATGCTAGAATTCCCGTATAAGGGAAACTCATTCTTATGGGTTAGAAGAAGACGTTCGGGTAAAGTTAAGTGTCGTCTTGACACAAAATTTAATCTAAATTTTTCCACATTACTGTGGAGTACCTGAAATTAAATGGATCAGATCACCGACCAGTTTTGGATATGATACGAGTGGATAACCAAAGGAAGAAAAAAGCTTTTAAGTTTGATAAAAGATGGTTGGGAAAACTGGGTTTCATAGAGGCTGTAATCTCTGGCTGGGATTCTTTTGATGAAATCTCACGTCGAGATTTTCATCAAAAAATAGCTCATTATCATAAAAATATCTCTTTTTGGAAGAAGTCTCTTTTGAAAAATTCAGAAAAATTATAGAAGAATTAAAGAATCAACTTGATATAGCCCAAGATGACGAAAACACTACGTCAAAAAAGATAGTAGAGATCAGAGGAAAATTTTTTTTATCCCTTCGTGAGGAAGAAATCTTTTGGAAATAGAAAAGTCGAGAGCAATGGCATATAGAGATGTCAAACGGGCCAACCCGCGTCCAAATAGCCCGACCTGATGCGGGTTTAATTTTTTTTTCGGGTCTGGTGGACTGGCCCATCATAAGCTGCAGTCCTAAATTGATGTGTCCAAGCCCGACCCATCTATATTCTACGGTTTTGCGGGCTGGCCTGCGGGTTCATACTTTTTTCTTCATCTTAAAGTTCTTATGATATTTAGATTTATAGTACCAGAAATTCTGCAAGAGGATAATAAAATTTTGCTCGTAACTGAATCACAATATGCATAAGAAACAAAACTAAAGAAAATTCTTGTCTAAGTAAATTCGATGAACAAACAAATGAATTCGATAAACCTCTTATACAAGACTCCTAACCCTATAATACAATAAGATTTGAAAAATCAATTTAACGTTAAAAATAAACACTTAGTTTTGAAAAGTAAATAAATGAATTACAAATAATGATACACATAAAAACTGGTAATTTAAGCTAAATAACCATCAAGATACAAGCAACAAGACATTCACATATATATAAAAAAAAAGATGAACCTAGCTTATTTGTTAGTCCAGCGTACAAACAAATGTGATTTTCAAGCAAAACTATTTATGATCAATTCATGATTTAAGTGATTCTAAATTACCTTTGTATCGCTGCAGACAAAATAAAAAACCACGTCCGTGATATAGTCGATGAGCAAAACCAACAAAGAAAAACAAACTTATGACATTAAACTGAAATTAAAACTCTAAAAAAACTACAAGTTTTTAGCTGGGAAGACAATGACCAGATTTTCTCCCAAATTCAAAAATCCAATCACAGAATTTGAATCGAATCGAATATAAAACACATATCAGTTTGATGATTCCTTGTCATTGAAATGAAGCTATCACAAAGCCCAATAGCTAAATTGTATGACTCCACTAGGCTTCGATTCACTCCATGAAACTAATACTTCGAAATCCACCAATCAAAAATAACAAAATACTTCACTTTTCGAAGTTCATAAGAAAACATCAAATTTTGCGGGTTGGCCCGCAAACCCGCGGATCCGCTTTGACCCGACCCGCAAAAGCCCAACTTCCACGCGGGTTTGGACCGCAAAACCCGCTTTTTATTTGGACCAATTTTATGGAACCCAAGCCCGCAGCGCTGCGGTTTTACTTGGGCCGAATCCACGGGTCAGAGCCCAATTTGACACCTCTAATGGCATAAGCATGGCGATGAAAATAAAAAAAAAAATTTCATGTCCTTACTGCATAAAGGAGAGTCTGGAACCGTATTGTATCCTTAAAAGATCGTAATAGGAATTTGGTGGAAAACACAAAAGGTATCGAACGGGTGGCTTCCCAATATTTTCAAGATTTGTTTACGTCATCACAACTTATAGATCCAGAAGTTTCACTCCGGTTTATTACCAAAAAAAGTCTCAGACAGCTCGAACCACCTCCTATTGATGGAGCCGATGGAAAAAGAGAATAGAGAAGCATAGTTTGATATTAATCTTGATAAATCTCCTGGACCAGATGGAATGACGAACAAATTCTATCGAAAATTCTGGTGATACCTACACCACGACATAATTAAAATTGGTGAAAGACTTTTTCGTATCGGGTTTCTTTGATCCTAGACTTAATCAGACTAGTATATGTCTTATCCCCAAAAAAAAAAGAAAACCCAAGAGCTATGGCGGAATTTCGTCCGATTAGTCTTTGTCATGTGAGCTATAAAATTATCTCAAAGCTCATGTGCAAAAGATTAAAAAAGACATTACCTAACTTGAGTTCAGAAACAAAATCGGCATTCATGGTTAGGCGTCTTATTACAGAAAAAATTCTGCTGGCACAAGAAAATTTCCATGCTCTCCGTACCAACACCATTTGTAGGGAAAACTTCATGGCTATAAAGACGGACATGAGTAAAGCCTATGATCGGATGGAATGGAGTTTCATTGAAGTACTCATGACTAAGTAAGGATACTCAGAGAGATGAATCAGACTATTAATGTTCTGCATTTCTTCAGCCTCATACCAAATCCTTATCAATGGAGAAGCAAAAAGAAAAACTAACCCTTCGAGAATATTGCAACAAGGAGATCCTCTCTTTTCGTTTCTCTTTGTTCTGTGCACAGAAGCACTTATCTCCCTACTCAATAAGCAGAGGAAGAAAAACGTATCACTATACTGAAATAGCTCAAGCGAGCCCGCCGGTCTCCCACCTTCTGTTTGCCGATGATAGCTTTTTTTCTGTAGCGCGGTCATCCAGCAAGGAGCCGAGATCTTTAAGATCATTTATTTATATGGAGCAGCCTCGGGACGATAACTCAACCTCGGGAAATCATCCATCATGGAATAGAGTGGACCAGAACATAAAGCGAGGTATGGTGGCATGGGTATGTATCTGGGATTCACAGAACAAATCTGTGGATCAAAAAAGAAAGTTTTTTTTTTTAATGTTCATGACCGTCTGAGTAATCGTGAAAATAATTGGTCCTCAAGACCTCTTTCCAAAAGTAGAAAATAAATTCAAATAAAATTGATTGCACAAGCCTTACCTACCTATGTCATATCATGCTTCTTACTACCCTAAAGAGTTACAGACAAAATGCGAAGTGTCATTGCCAATTTTTGGTGGAACTATAAGCAAAATAACAGTGGGATTTACTGGATTGCATGAGACAAAATTTGCATTCTCCATGACATGGGAGATCTAGGATTTTGAGATTTACAAGATTTTTGTTTAACCTTTCTTGCAAAACAGCTATGGCGACTTTTCCAGTATGCTTCATCTCTCTTGGCTCGCGTTTTAAGAGGTAGATATTACAGACAATCTGACCCTTTAGAGGATCGAAGGGTCTACTCACCATCTTATGGATGGCAGAGCATTATGGTCACAAAACCGCTCTTGAAGATGGGCTTAGGGAAGACAATTGGGTCTGGTCTTAATACTAGAGTGTGGAGCGAACCTTGGATCCCGGACCATAGGGCTCGTCCGGCGGGAGCTGCTCATTAGGTCAGGATTCGGGACCCAAAACTGTTAGTATACTCCTTTATACGCCAGGATACAAAACAATGAAATGTCCATTTTTTACGAGAATTTTTCCAACTTGAGGATGTTCTTCTTATTCTTGGGTTGAGACCTAACTGGAACCGTACTTTAGATGGTTATGCATGGAATCATACAAAATCGGGCTCATACTCTGTAAAATCAAGTTATGGCCTGATTAGAAGGACAAAGTTAGAACAAGAAGCTGGAGTGATGAGAGAACCGAGTATTACGACGCTTCAGAGCCAGGTGTGGAAATTCCGTGCACCTAGAAAGATGAGACATGTTATGTGGCAAGTCCTATCAGGATGTGTGGCAACGAAACATAATCTTACATGCCGACATTTGGGTACTGATAAGCGATGCGCCAGGTGTGAAGAACCTGAAGAGTCATAAACCATCTTCTGTTCTTATGTCTCCTGGATTTACAAGTCTGGGCATTATCGGACTTTCAGTCTTTTCTGGGCCTCTTCCTGAGTACCTCATTTACCAAAATATGAATTTTCTATTTTGGAAAATAAAAGAGTTAGGAATGACAGATCCCCAAAAGTATGTATATCCTTGGATCTTATGGTATATGTGGAAAGTGAGGAATGACAAGCTTTTTAACGAGAAATAAATTTCCCCCGAAGATACTCTGTTGTTGGCCAGGGTGGAAGCAGAGAGTTAGAGGATCGCGAACCAACCCGAAGAAATTAAGTAGACATTGGGACGCCGCAACCCCATCCGATATCGATATCGTGATCTCTTTTTGAGGATCAACGATTTCTGATATGCCGGATTGACGCCTCTTGGATCGATCATGGATTGGTTAGTGGCTTCGGTTGGAGTTTTGAGGAGAGCAGGGGACTAGAGTCTTTTGGTATTCAGGGATACGATAGAAGCCTCTCGGCTTTTAATACCGAGTCGAATAGCCTCTTTTGGGCTATGTCATGCTTGAGAGATATATAGAAGACATCAATACATTTCCAGACTGATTGTTGTGACCTAATAAATATGACTGAATCTCCAACGAATTAGCCGGTTTTTATGTCAAAATTGGACTCTTTTTGCATCTTCCGAGAGAGCTTTCTAGATTTCATATTATCCCATATCTCCAGATGTTTAAATATCTGGACTTAATAGTCTTGAAAAAAGAGTTTGTGCACAAAGTGTAATATTTATTTAAATCAGTTATACCAAAACCAGTCGAAGATGGTCTTCAGATCAAACATTCTGACTAGTTGTATCAATTGGGTAGACGAAACAAAAAAAAAATAGTTTCTTTTGCTAGATACAGTATGACAATATTACTTTTGTGGTGCTAACTGCCACAAACTCTTTTACTTGAAAGTGCTAATTCTTATTTGATCTTGAAAGAAACAAATCATTCACATGTCAATTTATGCAGATTAAAAGCAAGTACAAAGCGTTAGTATTAAGTTATAACAAGCTTCAAAAGACTTACATAGTGATCTAGATTTCACTCATTTACAAAACAACACTACTATAACTTGGGTCCTAGTACAATTCCCGTATTGAAGTAAAGTCTCTTCTTTAAGGACATAAACGTAGGTTTTGTTGTTTATTACTATCTCCTGTCGTATCCAAAGCTTTGGTAGAAGCTATATCTCCTTCCCGTTACCCCGTGCCCTGAAAATTCAAACCCCAATGGTGGTTTGCAGATCAAAAATTTTCATAAACATTGATGTGAAAAAAAGCACTAGAAAATATGGTCATATGCAAAAGCTATGAGATCCTATGATGACTCTGTAACACTTTCTGAGAAAAGTTCTCAGCAAATCAATACCTATGACATACTCTATCTTTGACTCTTTGTGTCCACCCGAATATGAAAAAGGCTCGTCCGCGCAACATAAGAGAAGAGAGAAAAGAAAATAAAGATGTAGCAGAAACTAAAACACCATTAACAATGGCAAGATTTTACACTTACCTCCTTTTTCTTGCTTTTGCTTATAAGACCAACTTGAATCCCTTGGACAGGAAATCATCCCTGACAATGAACAAACAAAAGAAGAAACTGAGCATATCGATACAGAATCACTAACTTTGATTTGCTTTCTCAAACACCATTTTTAGAGAAGAAAAACTCAACCTTTTGTTACTGTTCTTCATCAATTTATCTTCTTTAGCTCGCTGTTCTTTGCGGAGCTTTACGTTATTAACATCTCCTTTACATCCCAAAACAAGGCTACTCACAACGAGTTCTGCACTAAACGAGCTAGGACAATCCTTAATCCTAAGTGTACTAAGCTTCCTAGTCTCGAGATCAAACCAAACCAGCTTCGTATTGTTTATCTCCAAGAGAACTTTATCCCTGTCCTTGGAATAAACCAAAGGTCTCATATACGCAAACGATTTCACGCTTTTCGGTTTCTGAACAGTGAAAGCTTTAGTCCAAGAGTCTCTCACATTGTACTCTCTCATAATCCAAACATCAACATGTTTCTGATCGTAGTTACACATCAAACAAAGACACCCATCTAAAACAGCTATATCCATCTGAATATCAACATCACCGTTCGCTACAGCTTCAGGTAAACGAAGGATTTCGAATTCCTCTAGAGCAAGATCAAACCTCACAATGATATTGAAAGCAATCAAACCAGGCCTTCGTGGCAAAACCCAGTGAAGACTATTACCAGCAAGAACACCATAACCACGACGATACAACAGATGGTAATAGAAATAAAACAGTAGCTGAATCGTGGGAAAAGACGAATCGATTCTCTTCCATGAATTTCTCTTTAAGGAAAATACTTTAACCTCGTAAGGGAAACTGCAACCAAGCTCATCATCTGAGTCACGCTTAAACTGAACCATCCTCACGACTTTGTAATCGTCATTCACTGAATCGTAACCTAATCCGTAGAAGACGTAACCACGAGTGGTCGAACCATCGGGGAGATCGATAGGTGAAGGAGGTAACCGGTGGATCTGGCGAGTAGATGGGTTGAAGATGGCTAAATCGGTTGGGGAATTCGATAATCCGATTAAACCGTTGGAGGATCCGAAAACCTCCGTCGGACCACCGCGTTTCATCGGGTGCTCAACGTCGGAGACGGTGTCTAGCGAATCGAGATCTACGGTGTAGAGATGAAGAGCGCCTCTTAGAAGGATCATGAGGTGGTCACCGGTTTCGAGGACGCGATTGAGATGAGAAGAGACGAAATCGGGACTGTCGATTAGGTGACAACACGGCTTCGAGAGAGCTCGGAAGCGAACCAGGGTTTTTGCTGGTAATCGGAGGAATAGGTCGTTGACGATATCCATCGGAATCGTCGTCATTTTCGATGAATTTGAGTGTAAGTAAGTAGAGACTTGAGAAAGTGTGAAGCTAAATTCTGAATCAGATTTGAGATTTTCTCGAGAAAGTTTTTAGGTGACGGAGAAAGATAAAAGTGGGAGTTGAGAGTGCTTTAACACAGTGGTTGGAGGAGAGTAGTCGGGTAGGCTTTCAGATGTTAAAAGATAATGTTTTCTATTATTACAGCAAAAAAAAAAACAAAAAACAAATATTGTTACCTTTTCTCTCTTTTTTTAAGAAAAATAAAATAAATACACCTCCTTTCTTGTGAAAACAATAATTTTATTTTTTTGTCAATTTTAAACATTTATAATTATTTCAAACATGTAATAAGATGTCGTTTGATTATAATCCGTAATCCTGAAGCTTAGAAAAATCCATAATCCTTTCTCAAACACTTTTCTTTGGTATGTTTTTTTGATGAATTAAAAAAAAAACACTTAAAATCGGGTAAGAGATGTTAGGCTCATTGTTGTTCAAAAAAAAAAATGCTCATTTTATTGTCCTTTGGTGGACTCTATTAGGCTATATAAATTGGGCTCCTTTATTAGGGGTATATATTGCATGACAAAGAGTAAGCCCAATTTTTACTTGTTGGAAATGGAAACCCATTATTATACCACAAAATCCTAAACATACGTATACAAACAAATGCAACTTTGATTTACATTTTTTTTGTAATAATATTCTCGACTAGGTATTAGTTTGAACTTGAGATTTAAACTAAAAACTAAAGTTTATGAGTGAAAATTTCATACCATGGAATCTTTATTTGTTTATGGTAGATGTTCTAGCCGTCTAACGTGGACTCGAATGGCAGCATTTCTATTCTTAGAAGCTTCTGCTCCATCAACATATTTCAGAAGGCAAACAAAACTTTTCAAAAGGAGAAGGAAAAAAATGTGAACGGTTGTTAACAAAAAAAAAAAGAGAAACTAAAGACTCGAAATCGAGTTATAAGATCAACAAAGGAAAATTTTTTTTAATCTCCTCATTCACCATTAGGATAGGTTAGTTTTAAATTTAACCTTAAAAGAAATAATGAAAATAATAGTGATTAAACCAAGAGGTGATAGTGGAGTGATTCTCTTCTAGTAGAAAATTTGACTATGTGGATTTAAATTAAGAATCGAGTCTCTCTGGATATAAAATTATCACATTATTAACTTTTGACCATCCAACCATGTGAACTGCTACTAAACTTATATACAAAGGATACTGATTTAAAGAGGATTAACCTGGACCCGAAGAGATTAGGATTTACCTCCGAATATATAAAAAAAAAACAGTTATTAAATATGCCTCTTTGTCAATGATGTCTCTCCTCTCCATATTTTTAACTTCTTTAGTGGGTTTTAGTTTCAACTTCTTCTAGTGGGTCTATGGATTTTGGATAAATAAAATAGGTTTTTACGTAACTTAACTTAACTTGTACGGTTACAATTAAATTTTCGGATGAGTGGGGCCTTTTAATTAGTCATCTAGATTAGAGACAATTAAGTGGGTTTATGTGAATTGTCCCTCATGAATTTATATCTTGATGTATTGTAGGGATGTAATGTTCATCATAATCGCATGTGATGATGTAATAGTTTGACCAAAAAAAAAAAAGAACAGTATGAGGTCAGTGCCATACTTACGATGGCTTAAAACGAATTTAAAAAAATATAATTTTTTTATTTAACAAAAATATCAAAGTAATAATACTATCTAAAAAACTTCCATAATATTGATAACATAACTAAAAATGTAGAAATTTTAAAACATATTATTATGTATTTGTTTCTTTCACTTATTTATAATAGCTATGTTTTCCTTGTTTTCTTTTGTTTGTAATTAACCTTACTAAATATTACTATATATGCATAAAATTTTTCATTAAATTAACAATAATAATAATAGTTTTAGTGTTATAGTTTTTTCAAACTAGACTTCAACCCTATTTATCAAATTAAATATACATATAATGGTAATCTCTATAAGAAAATGTAACCCTTTAATTTTATGATATTTTTGGTGGTTTTAGGCATTTGCCTAATTTTTAATACATGAGGTATGTCGTATGTGCCTCGGTTTCTAATGGAAGTTAATTAACATTTGTAATCTGTCATGGAGAAATTTGTAATTATCTAATCCATCCCATCCAAATCCCAACTCATATAACCGCTGGATCGAAGCTCGATAACTATATTTATTACACTATATACCATAATAAAGTATACACGTAACACATCTGTAAAGTTTGATTGTATAAGAAGGCATCTCAAATCAATGATAAGTCCGAAAATGCCAAATTTGATCACGGGAGAGTTCATACATGATATAATATAATCAACGTGGAGTAAAGAATATACGTCAGATAATTGTAATGTAAATACTATATATTTTGTTTGATCAATTAATCAGTATTTGGTTTATCAAAAAGTACAAAAGATGTGACATACTATGTATGTATTTTCTTTCGTATGGTTTTTTGTTTTAGGTACTTTTTTCTTCATGATGGTTCCAATTAAGTTTTCAGTGGGGACTTGTTCTTCTCCGTTTCTAGATCTCATTTTGTTCTGATAACTGTTATATATACACTTCCTTACATGTGTACGTAGTCTCTTAAACATCTCTAATAAAAAAAAACAAAAAGATTGATGAAATTTTTCACTGAAAATGTATGTGGATCAGTTTGAATGGTTGCTAATTTTCTGTGGACAGGGCAAACAGATTCGTTTGTGAACTGGACCTCTCTATCTTTATGGCAGAAAAAAATTTGTTGTTAACAAGTTTTTTTATTTCTTTTCACAAAAACAGTCATCTCAGACCAACCGAAAAAAAAATTATTCCATTTCTTTTTTCTATCTCACTGTGTGCACTATTGCGACACAAAAGTTTATGAATAGAGTGAACAAGGAGCGGTTTTTGTCCGCAACAGATTATTCTTTTTTGTTTTTGTTTTTCAGCTCACTAAAACAAACAAACAGATTATTCTATCCGTCCATTACAACCATGAACCATTCAAAACCCTAAAATATTATTAGTTATGAGATAGAGTATAATTTTAATCAAAACTACCAACTTTAACAAAATGATACCTGCTTTCAAAAAATAAATAATACCAAAATGTTAAACTTGTCACATTTAAATCATTAAAAAAATAATTGTATCATTTCTACGTTTTATAACCATTTTAAACTTATGAAATCGTCATATATTAATGTTGTGATCTTTGAGTGGAATTGTGGATCCACACCTCTTAATGAAAGAAAAAATACTTAGTTTGTTACTGAGTCATTACTAACATCATGCATGTCGCTTATTTGGTTCTAAGTTTTAACATGACGATTTTTAGAAGAATTTATGTTGACCTGTTATGGAACGAGGAGCCATTTGCAATTTGTGTGTGTGTGTGTGTGTTTCTGAGTCATATTTTTATTTCTCTTTTGCCACTTACCCAACTGTGACATCATTTAGAAATTAGAATTGCAAGGGAGCTCAAAAGAGAACAGAAAAAAAATTCCCGAATCATACACACGCAGTGTGAGAGATACAATAAACCAAGAACATAGATGGTAAATGAGAAACAAAAACATACAATTATGAGAGGAAACGACCTGTAAACAGCCTGGTAATTAGAGCTTACGTTGCAGGGTCATTACCGAATTGGATGTAGCCGAACCAGAGAGATAGGTAATAATGATTAGAGGAGGAAGAACTATGGATGGGAGTACCTGACAATGAATCAAGGCCATTTGCAATTTAAGGTGTGCAACTCTACTTTTTGTTTAATTCATTGATGTGGAAAATAGGTCGACCCAATTCGAATCAGTACTGAATATTGCTCAGCTCAATTAAATTGGAGAAATTTTAGTTTGGTTTGGTTTTACCTTACTTACAGAGCTTCTATGGTTCCACAGTTTTTTTTCTCTAGTCCGTAAATTTTGTTTTTTTGTGTGTGTCGACAAGGATATATGTCTTATAGTGTTTTAGTATAATCATTTTACCTTGTTTTTTTTTTTTTTTTGGATACATACATACACTGAAACACAATCTACACAAAACATCGATTGATAATTTTATTAACCAATATCAGAAGACACGATTACAAAGAAGTGACTTAGGAAAAATGAAGCAAAGGAGTATAAACTTGCCGATTACACACACAAACCCCATAGTCCATTTATTGCATGAGAACGTTACATTCATCATTTTAAACAAGAAAAATACAAACAAGAAGATAAAAAAACAGGTTCAAACATTAACATATGATTCTTTTTTTTTAATAGGGATGCTTGTAGATATGTCATAAGTATTTAGCTTATGCGCATTGGAAATCCTTTGGAGCTTCTCTACTACATACATTGAGGAGTACGCTGAGACTGATAGGTAGGTTAAGGTTGATACCAAGAATGTTAGCCTTGAGCGCGGTACAAAGACAGACTGCAGCCTCAAGGTCAGCCAAGCCTTCGATGAGCGTGCAGCATGGCTTTACGGGTGGGTTTCCCAAAGTTAGGTCCACTAGCTTGAGAACATTAGCGCAAAGACCGATCTTTAGCGCATCTCTAGGACAAGAACCTGTGTTGGGGGTGGTTGGGGTGGTCGGAGTAGTTGGCGTGGTCGGGGTGGTCGGGGTAGTTGGCGTGGTCGGGGTGGTCGGGGTAGTTGGCGTGGAAGAGAGGCACTTGTGGCATGTGGCAGAAGTGTAAGTGAAGAAGAGGAGGTTGAGCGATAGGAAGAGTGCAAGAGAGTTTCTTGGAGCCATTAAATCGTTATGGAGTAGAAAACTCTAGTAATAGCTCAAGAAGTAGTGTAGTGTGTTTAATATTCCTTGAGATGGGTGGAGAGGAATGTTAAGTGTTTAGTGGGTATTTATAGGGTTTTCATTAGGAGAGGATGGAGAAGTAATGTTTATTTATTGATTTTTCTATAGGAGGTTAGTTGACTAAATGATTTGATTTCATAACTTAATGGTCATTGTCCAAAGTTGGCTGGAAATTGTAGAGTGTATGGTACTAAATTAATTATTTACTTGGTAGTAAGAAATTTACATTTTTTAAAAAAAAATTGACCAACAAAATTAGTACCATGTCTTCTTTACAATTACCAGCTAACTTACTCGAAAAAAGTATCTAATGGATTTTTTTTTTTTGAAAAATCCAGTGTTATTTAATCCATTTTTTCATTCCGTCACATGAAATTTGATTATCTTGTAATATAATTTTCAGTTATTCCACGAGATATTTGTTAGATTCCACATACTACATTTTAGTTATTCTTCTTCGGCTCCTGTATTTCGAAATGGTCACCCCTTTCTAACCGTATTCGATTAACATATCTGAAATTAACATACAACTTGTTTGATCATAAAAATTTCAGTGAAAGGTTATTCCATTACATGGGAGTACTTAAATTAAGTGACTGGATAATTTAATTTTTAAATCTAAGATTACTTAAATGTTCGAAGAATTATCTAAATTATATACGTAATCATTCAAAATGAATTTAAATCCAATCTTAATGAAGCTTTTCAACAACAACAAAATATAAAATCTTAATGAAGATTTACTATGGACTTGCAACTTAAAATCAGTTGAATGGATTAGTTCATAATTTTTATATATTAGAGTTGATTTCTTTGAACTTTTCTATATAGAATCTAAACATGTTCTTTCGAGATAATACATAAACATACAAGATTCTAATACCATATATATATATATATATATATATGATTTTATTATGAGTTTTCAGTTCAAACCGATTTACAATAAGTGAATTAATTTATATCTTTCATATATTTATGTTGGCCTATTTAAATTTTCAGTGTAGAATGCTAACAAAATCTAATCTTAATTAGAGTAATTGAGAGTCTAGATAATAATTTTCAGCTATTGAAGTATCTGTATTATTTCCTATAAATTTCGATCGTTAGTTATATTAATACATTTTGCTTAGTAATTTTAGATACCGTATTTATCCAATTTGATTTTTTTTTTCAATTTTTTTAATACAATAGTACACTTTGAGCAGAATGTTTGCACTAATATTCCATCAGATTCCGAAAATATTAATATTTGCAAAAATATTTAATAAATACTATATTATTAAGATTTCGACTAATTTTCATGAAGAATCAAATCCATCATTTTTACTTTATTTTGAGTTAGAAAAAAAAAACAGTTCAACTTGCTTGAAATGTTTTTTTTACACATACCAATGAGATGAATAAATTTTATAACGCTTCGGCTATTTCTATATGAGGTAAATTACTAGTTAGAACCTTAGACGTACTAGAAGTGGCTAACTTTTATTTGAACAACATGTTCAGGGCTAACTTTTATTTGAACGACATGTTCAGCTTGTTATATAAAAAAAAAATGTTCAGCTTCTCCAATTAGACTACATACATCTGTCTTCTATTTTGTTCGACGAATATTTAGTTTGTTTAAAGACTTAACTAAGGTTATAGTTTTTTGGTTAAAAACTTAACTAAGGTTCTAGTTTTTTGGTTAAAGACTTAACTAAGCACATTTACAGAATGGTGTTCTTCATTCCTTCACGCTTGTCCATGTGATCATATCTTATATATCAGCAAATCACTTTGTCACGGAGCGAACTGATATCACCATTATTCTAAAACACTACTTAGTCTACACATAATCTCACAAAAAGTTAACATTTAAACCAAAAAAATAATAATAATCTCACAAGAAGACAAAATTATGGCTTCATTAGGCATTTGTTGGTTTTAGATTTAATTTATTTTAATCCCAAATGGATTGACTAATAAAATCATTCCGTATAAAAAGGGTTACAACTAAGAAGATGGACTAATAGACAACTATTGTTTGGATCTTTATTTTTATTTTAAAGAAGAAATATCTCAATCTTATTTTCAGAGTTATAGCGCTGCCTCAAAGTATAAGATGGTTCAATACAAATTTAACAGCAAAGTTAAACTCGATGTTGCATGTGGAAAAAACAAATTATGATTCGTCTATTTCAAAATCTTAATAATATTTTCTGAATACCTGTGCGGCCAATTGCAAGTTTGAGAAGACAGCCATGTTTAAGATGATTAATATGGACAAATATTAAAAAAGTTGTTAGATCCAATTATATTCTATATATATATATATATTAAGGTGTTATATAACGACAAAATCATCGATGGTATTTTCTTTCGAATTATATATTTCGTGAATTATATGAATGAGGGATTTAAAAAATTATACTGTTTTATCCGTTTTCTGAATAAATTATATAGGTTTAGTTATCAGAAAATAATAATTTAAGTTCGTGTATCAGTGGTGTCTGTTTTATATTATTAGGGTTATAAAATAAGATCGAACATGCCAAAATATATGTGGTTCACAGGTAATAGGGATAGGAGAGATCTCGAATTGAATTATTCCTTCGACGGGCTTGTAATAATATGATAATCAACATGCCAATCATTAATTCTTTACTATAGAACTAGGTATTTAGCCTGCGACTTGCGCGGACCAAAAATTTTTAAAAACAAAAAAAAAATTTTATGCTATAAATTAAAAATAATTAAAACAACTATTTAAAACATAATTTAATTAAGATAAATTCTAGTTTTTCGTTTCTTATTTAACTAAAAAGGTAAACAAAATTTAAAATTAATTACTTAAAAATACTTTATAACGGAATAGTCCACAAACTAATTTAATTAAAATAAATTCTAGTTTTTCGTTTCCTACTTTTTCCTTTTCATTATTTTTTTCTTTCTTCTTCATCATTTTTTCCTTATTCTTCTTTTGTCCATATTTTTTCTTGTTTTTTTTTCATGTCTTATTCTTCATTTTTTTTCTTCTTCCCATATTTCTTATTCAAATTTATCATTCACATCTTTTTTTTTATTATTTAACACATTCATCTTCTTCGTCTTCTTCTTTTTTTTTATGGTTTATTCTTCTTCTCCTTATGATTTTTTTTCATATTACGTACTCTTCATACTTTTTATGACTCTATATCTTTTGAGGTTGAAAAAAAAAGATAAATACATATTTCAAACTTAAAACTCTCCATAAAAGTGTGTTAATTTATTGTTAGATAAGAAAACTGCATTAACTTTTTTAACTTGCTCCTTTCGAACAATCAAAACTGTTTCGGGGTAATCAACTTTAAAAAAGAGTTTAGACATATATACCAAAAAAAAAATTTTCAAAATTTCTTAATTATGCTAATAATCAAAATATCAAAAATTAAACAAATATCAAAATAAGACTTTAAGTAAAATGGAGTCTCCACAAAAGGGTTGTGACATTCACGGTCAAAGATTTGCAGATTTTTGTATATAATTTATCATCGATTTCTTCACATTGTTGTGCTAGAATATTTATTTGTTACCATATTAAATAATTTTAAAAAATAAAGAAAATACAAAATTAGATGGAATTGAATCCTTCCAACATACAAACTTAAGAAAACTTAGAGTTTTAGCTACTTAAACATAAATTTTACATCTTTTGTGAAACTTAAGCAAGAGAAGTTTTACTCTGATCCAGAAACAACATTTTATAATTAACAGTTCAAACTCAATTGGAAACACATGAGATGAAAGCACTCCACACGAAAAAGATTTCAGTCGGAGAAACGTGCAAAAGATCAAAGTACAAATAGTTACCTTTTTTTTCTCCTGTCTTTGCCCATAAGTAAAATAAAGGAACCAGAAACCAATATCAAAAAATATCCCAACACTGGACATAAGAGACAAACACACACACAAAGCTCATTCAAATAAAGTGATGTTCGAATAAAAAATAGTAATTTTGTTCATGTATCATCATTATTATCAATAGAACTAACTTTGAGAGTAAGAATATGCCAAGTGGACTAACATTTTTGCTGGATCTAAACTCCTTGTTAGCTTGTTTTCTTTTGTTATCGGCAGCGACACGTGGGGTCTTGGATAAAACACAGACCACCAGGCACCATGTTCTGCACCTTGTTCACCGAAGCTTCTTTTGAACTGTTATAAATTTAGGATTCATCAGATCAAATAATAATCCATAATCAAATGATTAAACCTATGTTTTTGTATGTGTTCTTTTAAAGTTTCATGTACCTTCTAACAGTTCAATCAGCTTGGCAACCTTCACAAGAACCAGGTGAACTCACGTTCATTGTCATGAGGGATTTCGACACCGTATGTCCTATAGACCATTCTGAATCGTCACCAAGAACCTACACCACAAAAAAGAATACATGATCCTTTTGTAATAATTTTTTAAAACATATAAAACGCTTTTATCTGACTCCAAGAACTGGTTCGGTTCATGACTATAATCTATGTCTTCATCACCAGCAAATGAAATCTGTTGCATCGCAAGATGAAACAATAAAACGGGAGCACCTAAGAAAGAAAAAACAAAAACAATCAAAACTTAAAACAGATAAGAATCAATAAATAAAAAAGGTTCGACTCAGCCCCAACTAATAAAAGAGAAAAAAAAGTGCACCAAAACTGGCTAATATATAAAACATAAATATGATAGATAATAAAAAAATCACAAATCTAAACCTAAAGCACAAAAAAGAAAATAAAATGTTACCCTTCGGTATAGCAGTAAACTAAACAATCAACGATCAAGAAAGTCTGGCTAAAACACCACCTCCTAAACAGAAAAAAAAACATCAAACGCTATTATTAATAAGAAGAATTTATAAAATATAAATATAATCTAACTTCTAATATACATCAGAACAAAATATATTCTTGAAAGAGCTATAAAAGGGAAGACACAAGGTATCGCCTAATATATATAAAATAATGTAGATCTACCTGAGCTAACAGAAACAAATATAAAACAAAAATAACAACCGAATAGAAAATTAGAAAGCACAAAAACTATTTTTTTAAGAAGTCACAAGATCACTAATGTGAAACACACGAAATATATAGCTTACATGATCGCCAAACATTACAACCGTGTAAGTGAAGAAAAAAATTGGTTGAAAAATCTTTATAATTTATGCAAATCAGATAATTCATATATATTTTTTATTAAAAAAAAATATCCAAGTATTTATCAAGACTTACTTAACGATTAAGGGAGTAACATAACTATATATGATGATTTTTTATTTTTTAATGTTTTTTATAATTCATATAAATATTTTTTTTTTAAAGAAAACAATATCTAAGTATCTATTAAGTAAGATCTACTTAAAGATTTATGGAGTAACATAATTATATATGATAATTTTTGATTTTTAATTTTTTTATAAAAATTAATTTAAATAAAATTAATTTTGTTTTTTATTTTTTTTAAAAAAAAATTGTGATTTTAGTTGTAAAATCGTGATTTTTGATTTGATAAAATCGTAGATTTTGATCAGATTGAGATAAATCATGTATTTTGATTTGATTTAATATTATTACAACTTATATTATAATCGTAATTTTTACTTCGCTTATAATATATATATATATATGATGATTGGTTAAACTTATATATTACGTTTGCCGAAAAAAAACTTATATATTACGTTCTTATCTCCTTTTTTTTTTGAATTTCTGTTTAATAAAGAAAGAAGAAACATGTCGGTAAGACTACAAATAATAGTAGCGTAAAACAATCATAAGCGAAAATGAAGTTGATTTGCTGATATACCGGAAAACAACGTTTTAAATTGAAGTTGACTTCCAATATATTTGTCTTTTAGAAAATTTGACCAAGAGTACTAAAAAAAACTGTGATCGTGTTTTTTCATATAATTTGTTTTCATATAGATATATATAGTACCCAAAAAATATAGTTCACATTTTGCGCTTCAGAAGTTATAATTGATTTGTGACATTAATATAAATAAATACAAATTCAAACGACTACAAAATTCGCATATAAACATTTAGATTATAAAAATAGATATTCATCTCTTAGACGAAAATTCGAATAGTCACGAGGAGATACGCAATTAGCGGAGGGGAATTCGTCTTTGGAACCACATTTGGAGATGTTCAAAAGTTGGAAAAGGTCTGAAGCCTTTGTCGACTTCCTTGAAAATATTATCAACTGATGTAGTCATAGCTCGCCAAGCAAGGAGATTGTCTTTTTTTGTTTGCTAATAAGGAGGACCAATTTTTTGCGGCAATTTAGATACTGATAGAGATTGAGAGATTCTGCTGAGGCGTTCCTAAAACCAAAGATGATGCAAAGCGATTCTTTTGCAATTCGCATTGATGTATGAATGCTATATCTACAGAAACTAAATAATTGTGAGAAATTACACAAAAAAATAAACTGATAATACAACTAGAAAGACTTACCGATACAAGAATGTGGAAGAAAATATGATAAATTGAGAATATTCATTTTTTTTTTCTGTTAGTTCTGTAAACGCTTTATAGTATGATGGTTTCATAGCGTTCTGAATCCTATATATAATACAAACACAGTTATTCTGTCTTGTATAACTCAAGAACATCATCAAATTAATGAACATCTTCTATGAAGGGAAATAAGTAGAGAGATAGATATGAAGGGAATTTATATAATTTTGTTGCAGAAGAAAATGAGAGAGATGAGGCTATTTGTCATCATTATATGGTCCATAATAGTGATGACTCATGAGCCATTTTGATTAATTGTGGAGCTTACCGAAATGATTTATATTATTCGATTGAAGAGGATATATAATTTTCCACTTGATTATGAAAATTATATTTTTTATTGACAAAATTTAGCTGTATATATTTGGTTAACAGAATTACATACCTTTTGAACAATTTAAATTCTATTTAGTCATTTTTTATACTAATAAAAACTTGATGTAAAAAGATAAGTTATTGAGACAATGCCCATCTACCCAAACGCGAGCTCGTCCTGCATCTACCCAAACGTGAGCTCGTGTGTGTGGTTTAACATGAGTTCATTGTTCTCCCCTTTACACGATATTGCATACCCAAGAATTTTGAACCAAATGCTAGACATCCCTGTTTTATATACACTAAAGGATTTCAATCCGAATTTCCAATGTAGAATATTTTATATTTAGCAGAGTTTTTTCAACCAACATTTTAAATATTTATTTATCATTCAAATGAACTATAGTGAGGGGAAAAAAATGAACTATAATTTTGACATATGAGTACATTATATTTGTGGAAACGAATTCATAGCTCTCAAAATCCAGTCTTTTCGACAAAAACTATTCTGTAAAACCCAACAAAAAACTGGGCGGAGCAACTTGTCAAAAACGGTGATCAATACGCCAAAAAGACCAGCTAAAAGTGCAAACGTATTACATGTGATTTCTAGAGATGATTCTCCAGTCGAGCTACAGAAAAGGCATTAGTATATCCGTTCGAAGACCCCATTTTGGAATTCAATATTTCGTAGACCATCTACTTGTAAGATCCAAGTTTTGGATGGTGTGTGACACACAAAGATGACGTGGACAGAAAAGCATTACTGGGATGACAGACTGATTGAACGACTCAAAAAGATTTCGTGAGAAGCAAGCAGGATCGCAACGAAAGGATATTTGGAAGATCGGATATTGAAGAATCATAGAAGATCTCAACAAAAGGAAAGAGTATATTCACAAGCTGTGGAGCGCAAGGTGGTATATATACTGGAGTCTAATCTAGGGAACGGGTTAACACTTTTGAGAGATTATTGAAAGAGTTCACATGAAAACTACAGAAAGCATTAGGGTTCTTGGTGAGTGTTCTAAGTGAGTGAAGCACAACTGTTGTTGTGTTAAACTTGGGTAGATTAGGAATTGGTCAGTGTCGAGTTGCTGAGTTAAACAAAATCATGTAATACTGATTAAACAGATCTTGAATAGATTGTCTAAGCGATTTCTAATAAAAAACAAAAGGTTTTTTGCATTTCCAACGTGTGCTACACAAGTCTCTGTTTCACTTATTTTACATTTGGTATCAGAGAAGAACTCCTTAGGCTTAACGCCTTCTTACAGGTGGAGGTCCTGCGGACGAAATGGAGACTACCAAGTATATCGCTGTGCAGAAACCACTGCGTCTTGATGCTGGAAATTTTGGTCACTGGAAAGCTCGCATGAGGCATGTCATCCAAGGAATTGACGAGGACGCATGGACTGCAGTGGAAGAAGGGTGGACTGCTCCAGTTGTTGCTACAGTCGATGACAATGGAATCACAAAGAAATATCCTAAACCAAAGAACACATGGACAGATGTTGAGAAGAATGCTTCGAAATTCAACTCGAAGGCCATCAATGCTATTTGTGAAGCAGTTGAGTTGGATGAATTCAGTCTTATTCAAGGGTGCGCATCTGCTAAGGAAGCATGGGATATACTGGTGAATCATTTCGGAGGAAATACGAGTGTGAAGCGATCAAGACTGGATCATCTGGCTTCACAATTCGAAAATCTCAGAATGGAAAAGGATGAGTCGATCACCAGTTTCACTACAAAGATCAGCACTCTTGCAAATGAAGCGTTTGTTCTCGGGAAAAAATACAAAGACAAAAAGCTTGTCAAGAAGCTTCTCAGATGTCTACCACCCAAGTATGCAGCTCAGAAGACGGTGGTAAAGTATTCCATGGATTCAGATGATATGAAATTTGACACTCTGGTTGGTGTGCTCAAGGCCGAAGAATTGGAAGCTACTGCAGATGAAAAAGCCAAACAGAAAGACCTGACATTTGCAGCTACGACAGAAAATGACAGAGTGAGCCAAGTGGAGGAGCAACTAAGTCTGTTAGCCAAGAACTTCAACAAGATGCTGAAAAGGGTAGAGAAAGGACAGAACAAGTCTTCCAGGTTTCAGAAAACTGATTCAGACAGAGGTAACTCCCGCAACTTCCGTTCTGACGGGGATAGAACAGGTAGAAAAAAAGATCTGCAATGTCATGAGTGCGAAGGTTATGAACATTTCAGAAATGAATGCCCACTGACTAAGCGGAAAGAGCTTAAATGTACTGAATGCAGAGGTTTTGGCCATATGCAAAGTGAATGTCCAAATGGATCAAAATCGAAAGAAAAATCACTTATGGCTTTGGGAGAATCTGAGTCTGAGAGTGAAGAGGAAGAAGATGACAAAAGTCAGATGCTGAATTTTGTTGCATTTGTGGCGACTGGCGAAACGAACGATAAGGAAGAGACACAACAGGTTATGGACTCAGAAAGTGAAGATGAGGATGTGGAGTTTGATGCCAAAGTTGAATACCGGAAACTGTATGACAACTGTGTTCAGCTGAGCAAAGACAATCTTCAGTTGGTAAAGGATAAGGCAATGATGAAAGCGCAGATTAACATCCTTGAAATGGAAAAAGATCCGGTTGAGGATGTGTTGGAGAAACTTGAGAATATTAAAGATGAAAAACTCAACTTAGATGTTCTGAAAGCTGAAAAGATCAAGAATCAAGAACTGGAGATCAAACTTGAAAATTTGAGGAAAGTTTGCAGGCTAGAAAAAGATAAGAGCATCAATCTTCAGTCTCAACTAACCGAAAATCACAAAAAGATAAGGATTCTGAATACAGGTGCTGAGAACCTTGATGAAATCCTATCTATGGGTTTACCTCCCAAGAAGAACTGGGGTCTGGGATATGAAGGTGCTGTCGGGGGAAGTGGAAGTTCATATGGAAACATGTCCAACTTTGTCCATGGAGGTACATCCAGAAGTGAGCTTACCCAAGTGGAACCTGAGCATCCCGCAGAAGGTTTTGTTCAAGTTAAGGAGAATCACCCTCGAGCAAATCATACTCAGAAGTCGCACCAAGGTACGAATGCCAATCAGACTCCTGAGAAGCGTGCTAAACGTGCCAAACCGTGCTGTTTTTTCTGCAAGAAACCAGGGCACAAGAAATTTAGATGCTACAAGTTCAGGAACAAGGTGAAGAAGGTCTGGATAAGACATCTATGTTACTTGGAGCCCAAACAGTGGGGAAAGATGTGGATTGCGAAAAGGGATCTGTATGATGCTCCGATAGTTGAGAATGCATGTGTTGAATTAGTGTGTAATCTTGCACGAATTCAGTTCGAAGAGACCAAGCACATAGCAAATGTGGCTTACACGTCATCTGAAGGACATGTAGGTGATGCTTGGTATTTTGATAGTGGTTGTTCACGACATATGACCGGGAATTGTGACCTGTTTGACACAATCAGCATTGTTAAAGCTGGTAATGTCACATTTGGTGATGGAGGACAAGGAAAGATACAAGGAGTTGGGAACTTGGAGAGAGACGATCAACCTCAACTTCTGAATGTCTTTTATGTCCGCGGGCTCAAAGCGAATCTCATCAGTGTGAGCCAATTGTGTGACGAAGGGCTTAAGGTCATTTTCACCCGAATGGATTGCAAAGCAGTGGATGAAAATGGAAATATTGTTCTTCTGGGCATCAGGTCAGGGAACAATTGTTACATGTGGAGTCAGTCGGATCAATGCCTTTCAGCAAGAGAATCGCATTTGGAATTGTGGCACAAGAGACTTGGTCATATGAATACTCATGGACTAAGTCGACTTGTAAAAGCTGAGGCAATAAGGGGAATACCTGAACTAGATGCACCAAGAGATAGTGTGTGTGAAGTATGTAGCCGTGGAAAACAGATTAAAGTACCACACAAGGCAGTCTCTGAAATCAGGTCAAAGAAAGTTCTCGAACTCATCCATATGGATTTGATGGGTCCTGTTCAGACTGAGAGCATAGGAGGAAGAAGATACATTTTCGTGCTGGTTGATGACTTCTCAAGATTCACCTGGGTGAGGTTTCTGAGTGAAAAATCTGAAGCAACAAACAGCTTCAAGATCTTGGCTCTTCAGCTCAAAACCGAGAAAGGGAACATTGTGCAAATTAGAAATGACCATGGAGGGGAGTTCCAAAATGAGTTGTTTGAACAATTCTGTAACAGCCAAGGAATCAGACATCAATACTCTGCCCCAAGAACCCCATAGCAAAATGAGGTAGTTGAAAGGAAGAATCGAACTTTGCAAGAGATGGCAAGAACTATGATGCTGGGTAATAATGTTCCAACAAGATTATGGGCTAAGGCCATTAATACGGCATGTTATATCATCAATCGAGTCTATGTGAAGTAGGAACCAAGACTACTCCATATGAAATCTGGAATGGTCGAACACCAAATGTGAACTACTTTCATGTGTTTGGGTGTGTGTGTTACATACTAAATGACAAAGATAATCTGGGCAAGTTTGATTCCAGAAGTGATGTGGGTATGTTCCTTGGCTATTCAACACATAACAGAGCTTTTCGAGTCTACAATCAACAAACCAGGATGATTTCAGATGCCATCAACGTTGTCTTTGATGATAAAAGCAGTTATTCTGTGGATGGGATTTTCTCTGCTCCCTTGTGTGACACAGAGGTTCATGTGGAAGAAAGCCTTATCGAGGACACCAAGAATGAGGTGACGCAAGATGTAGATGTTCCTGACGAAGCTCAAGTTCCAGTCCAGGTTCATCGAAATCACTCTCCTAACGATCTAATTGGTAATCTGGATGAGAGGAGCGTCACACGAGGTAAGAAGATTGACTTCAAAGAGCTGGCAAAATTTGCTTGTTTCATCTCCCTTGCTGAACCAAGCACGGTGGTGGAAGCTTTGAATGATGAGTTCTGGGTAGCTGCATGTCATGAGGAGTTAGAGCAGTTTGTTCGGCTGGATGTCTGGGATCTAGTCCCAAAACCGTCTCATGTGAATGTAGTTGGTACTAAATGGATCTTCAAAAATAAAATTGATGAAGATGGGAATGTCATTCGAAACAAGGCAAGACTAGTAGCCCAGGGGTATTCACAGATAGAAGGAGTTGATTTTGATGAGACATTTGCTCCTGTGGCTCGCCTTGAATCCATTCGGCTACTCTTTGGAATCGCGTGCAAACTGCAAATTAAGCTCTACCAGATGGATGTGAAGAGTGCATTCCTCAATGGGATTCTGCAGGAAGAGGAATATGTGGCTCAACCTAAAGGCTTCGAGGATCCACAGTTTCCTGACCATGTTTACAAGCTGAAAAGAGCCTTATATGGGCTGAAGCAGGATCCAAGAGCATGGTATGAGAGACTCACTCAGTTTCTTCTTCGTGCTGGATATCTGAGGGGAAGTGTTGATAAAACCTTGTTCATTAAAGATGAGAGGTCTGAGCTTCTGGTGGTTCAAATTTATGATGATGACATCATTTTTGGAGGAACTCACCCAGACCTAGTGAACACCTTTGTCAAAACCATGACAAAGGAGTTTCAGATGAGCATGGTTGGAGAACTGAATTATTTCCTTGGACTTCAAGTCAGGCAAACTAAGGATGGGATTTTCGTGTCACAAAGCACTTATGCTCGGAACCTGGTCAAGAGATTCGAGATGGAAACCTGCAAAGTTGCTAAAACTCCGATGAGTACAACTAGCAAGCTGTCAAGAGATGAAGAAGGCGAGAAAGTGAGTGAAAAGCTGTACAGGGCAATGATCGGAAGCCTACTTTATCTGACAGCCAGCCGACCTGACCTGTGTCTCAGCGTTGGTCTGTGTGCTCGTTATCAAGCATGTCATCGCCAGTCACACTTGTCTGCTGTCAAGCGGATCATCAAATATGTACGAGGTACGCTAGACTATGATCTGTTTTACTCCACTGAGACTAACACAAATCTTGCAGGTTTTTGTGATGCAGATTGGGCAGGTTGTCTTGATGATCGGAAGAGCACATCTGGGGGATGTTTCTTTCTGGGTAACAATGTGGTCTCATGGCACAGTAAAAAACAGAATTGCGTCTCTCTTTCCACAGCAGAGGCGGAATACATTGCACTTGGAAGCTGTTGCACACAACTTTTGTGGATGCGACAAATGCTGGCTGACTATGGTACTCAAAATGACCCTTTTCTTGTGCATTGTGATAACAAAAGTGCCATAGATTTGACAAAAAATTCAGTGCAACACTCCCGCACAAAGCATGTAGACATTAGGCATCATTTTGTCAGAGACTTAGTTGAGGAGAAACTTGTCGTCATCAAGCATGTAGCATCTGAGCACCAACTTGCGGATATCTTTACAAAACCTCTTGATCTCAGTACTTTTCTGTATCTTAGAAAGGCATTGAGAGTCTGTGAACACTAAACTCATATCTGCATAAGTGATTATTGAGGTGTATATTTTTTATTGTACAGTTTTTATCAGTGTTAACACCTCTTGTTGAGCAAGTTCTGTGTCAGGTAATGCTCTGTGTGTAGTCCAGGATGTGTGCAAGGATGATACGTTGCCATGATGAGCGTCACTCATACCGGATCGAGATGCTATCATATTTCAGTTCTGGCTATGATTACTGACAGGAATGGCTGAACATGGATATGGGCTAAGTGTCATGTGTTAAGGGGAGTAACTCTATGCCAGTCTAGGGTCGATTCCAGGAGTGTGTGAATGCGCATCAACTGAGGGATGGCAGCACAAATGATAAGACAGTGACAACAACTAGGACACAATCCACTAATGCTCAGTGTTCTCTTTTCAAAAAAAAAAAAACAATGGGAAAAGGGATGTGTGAATGCTCCTTGGCTAAGGGTACGCAGCACATGCACTATGTAACACACTGTGTGGCCAAATATGTCCTTGTTGTTGTCATGGCATAGTACCCTCTGAATCCGGTGGAGAAGTGGACACGTGACTCACCTATCTCATACCCGTGTTCCACACAAACGTCATTCCATCTGTCACGTACCCTTGGATAGCACCGGGACACTTTCTGCTCAGAATGAGTAAGGTGAAAGCCCTTCAGCTGGAGGATTGGCTGCCTTACTTGCTCACGAGTTGATTTCTTTATTTTCCTTCCAATCTGTCACCATTGGTAATCACCTCTCCCCATGTGAGTTGTACATAAGTGTGTCTTTTTCCGCATCTATCTTCCATTTTGGTGTTTAAGTGTTGCTGACTAGCTGATGCTCATGGTTCACTCGATCACAGTTTCTGTGTGTTGTCTTGTGTGTTACTCATGTTTGGGTCTGTGTCATTCTGTGGATTTTTGTTTTGGGCCTCTAGCCCATTTTTATCGGGCTTATCTTGTCTACTGAGCTTGTGTTAGGTCATGCCAAGGTTTCCCGCTTGAATATATACTGTGCTGACGTTTGGTGTGCCATCAAACCCTAACCGTGTGCGACTCATTTCTCCTCAATTCACACCTTGTCAATCTCTGAGCTTCATCAATGCCTCGCCATACGCGATCTCAAGCTTCCAAACTGATGGAGTCTGCGAATGCGGCCTCCCGTCGGGAACCAGAAGACAATGAAACCATTGCCTCCGTTCTTCGCCGTCACTCTGCTAAGAAGAAGGAGAGAAAACGCCATGGCAAGTCTGCAGTCGTCGTGTCTGATGATGAGGATCGCAGCTCGGACTCCAGTCACTCCTCTCATCCTCCGCCGCACTTCGAAGATCCTGCAGATCTGTTCTCCAACCCCTTTGCTGAATCAGGTGATGAAGAGATGCTTGATGGGTCCGGTGATGAGCGAGAGGGTCCTCCTCACACCTATGTCGATTCCGAGTCTCGCTATCGCGCTAATCGCAAGGCAACACTGGCTCGCGACTGCATGCACCTGGAGCTCGCTCGTCCTCTTTGATACTCTCGCGACAACTTTGCTTCCGCTGCAGCTCGTGAGATGTATGATTCCATCCGTCTTTGTTCATTTGGAAGATCGGATATTGAAGAATCATAGAAGATCTCAACAAAAGGAAAGAGTATATTCACAAGCTGTGGAGCGTAATGTGGTATATATACTGGAGTCTAATCTAGGGAACGGGTTAGCACTTTTGAGAGATTATTGAAAGAGTTCACATGAAAACTACAGAAAGCATTAGGGTTCTTGGTGAGTGTTCTAAGTGAGTGAAGCACAACTGTTGTTGTGTTAAACTTGGGTAGATTAGGAATTGGTCAGTGTCGAGTTACTGATTAGACAGATCTTGAATAGATTGTCTAAGCGATTTCTAATAAAAAACAAAAGGTTTTTTGCATTTCCAACGTGTGCTACACAAGTCTCTGTTTCACTTGTTTTACACTACTGAGGACAAACATCCAAGTCAAGAATTTCTTCTTGTGAGGTTTTACTTTTAATTGGCTTTTGGTTTTGATCCGTCGAATAAACTTCAAATAGCTAATTCGATTTCTTCATTTTTCATTTTTTAAATAGTGAGTCAGTGCGTGCTGACTTTTAATCAAAGACACCAGCGGAAAACTTGTTTGGAATTGTTTTAAATAATTATTTATCAATATAACCCTCATGCAGTCATGCTGGCTGATTTATTAGACTTCAAAGTTCAAATCGTACGTAGCTGACTAATTTATAATTAAATATACTATTTTCACTATTTTATACTCTTTCTTATAGCCCATTTTTCGTACGTACGTGTTACTAGCTGCTATAGATACACTAGAACATGCATATTGCTATATTGTTAAGTAGATGGAAGGCTCTTTATACAAAATTAATTAATTAATAGTACTCACATACTTTTTTCTTTTATTCTTCAGACTACAATTCGCAGAACGTGAATTCATGTCTGCATGAACGAATCCAATACTCACGGACCAGATATAACGAATTAAAAATACTTTCCCCTACTTCTTTGATAAAACGAAGCAAACATAAAATGTAACACCGAAAGAAAACGATTCTTTTATCATCAAGACAAATGAAATAAATGACAACACAAACCCATTTCTTCATGGATGAGGAAGATCCTCATCCACATGCACCAATTCAAATAAGAGAAGATAAAAACAAACACACACACACAAGGAACACAAATTGAAACTCGACCACATTTCATGCATATCAATAAGTTTAGGGCTTATCGATTTTTATATGTAACGTTTAAGGAATTAAGGGCATTGGAAGCCACGTGGAGCCTTTCTGCTGCAGACGTTGAGTAGCAAACTGAGGTTGATCGGAAGGTTAATGTTGATGCCGAGAATGCTAGCTTTAAGCGCGGTGCAAAGACAAACCGCAGCTTCAAGATCGACCAAACCGTCAATGAGGCTGCAACAAGGCTGAACCGGAGGAGCACCTAATGTCACATTCAACAAGTTAAGCGCGTTAACACAAACACCGAGCTTCAGGGCATCTTTTGGGCATGTCTCGATGGCAGGAGCGCTTGGGGTAGGCTTGGGTTTGTATGGCGATGGTGGATAACCGGAGCGGCCGGCTTCGGTTAGGGCGAAAAAGAGGATGTTCAAGGCAAGGAAGATGGCTAGGGAGTTTCTAAGAGCCATTTTGCTTAGCCTTTAAAGAATTTGAGTGTTGTTATAAAATGTTTGAGAGTGGTGAAGAAATTGAGAGTGTATAAGTGGGTATTTATAGGGTAAGTAGAGTGGCTTGAGTCGAATATTTAAATGAGTTTTAAAGATCGTATTACTTTTGATTATTCAAATACAACTTAGGGTTATAATATTGATATGTAGGTAAAACAAAAATGATCAATGTATGTATGTGTTCCGACCATGTGGTTAGCCATAGTCCCTAGGGAATTTTAGCTGGCGATCTGAAGTAAGAGTTTGGAACGAAGTGTCAAGTGTATAATTTCAAATTTCTTATGTTGAAATATATATTATGAAGTAAATTCATGAGAATATATAAAGATTTAAACTATTACAACTTGTTAGGTTACAAAATTCTTAAATATATTAATGAAATGTGTAATGAAAGAAAATGTTACTAAATTTGATGAAATCAAAATACTTCATCTAAAGTTTTCATTTGTCATTTTAAACTATATTACAAGTAATAACTTTAGGAGATGTGTAAAAATCTCATCTACTTTCTATACATATGATTAAGCCGATAAGAAGACCTATATTATTGGGCTTCGTTTCTAGTAGCCCATAAGAAATTTCAGCCCACTTTATTGACATACAACATTTGTGATTTGTTTTTTTGAGAAAAAAAAAATTGGTCGGCAGAAGAAAAAAGACAAACAAAAAATGTTTGATTTCTCTCATTCTCTGTACATTGCTGTCATCTTCGTCGAACATCAAACCCAAATTCGAAAAATTCAAAATCCCGCCTTCGCCTTCTCCCACAAACCCTAGCGATAGTGTACCCACCACTATCTCCGGCGACGGAAACCAGACAAGGTTGCCTCTAAACTTCCCGTTACGTGACCTAATTCTCCGTCTAAGCAAGGTGCTTTCTCTATCTTCCCTCTTCGTCTTACTCTGATGAGAATCAATTTCAATTTTGAAGGGTTTATTTTCAGTCGTGTAACTATCTTCCTCAATCTGGACAATTTTGTTTTGCATTCGGATAAGAGCACGATATCTAGATACAAATTGGTTTTGCCTTTTTGTTTTGTTAGCGATTCTCCAGATCCGGATTATTGCAAATCCAAGCTCCTTTCATAGGCTAAGGAAATGGAATGTTGTGTAACCAGAAGAGATAGTGTTGTTAGAGGAACAGGTATCAAAACTCCTCTCGCTTCTTCTAAACTTTGAGAAAATTTGGAAAAGTCATTGGACATGGATTTGGTCTCTGATTGATTATTTTGCAGTTAATGAAGTGAAACATACAGAAGAAGAAGAAGAAGATCATGGATATGGTGGTAACGATTGTGAATTGGATCTACTCTACCTTGTACATTCTGATATCTCATCTCTTCTTCTCCAGGTTCTTGCTACTCTTCTTGGCTAGAGATATTTCCTTAGTTTGTGTGTTCCTCTTGAATCCTTGTCTCTTTGTCTGACAATGATCAACAACTTGTTTGGTATTGGTTAAAGAACCATTTTCATTTTACATTAATGAGTTATGCCATGGTTTTTGGGACTTCAGATAGATGAGCTCGTTGTGAAAGCCACAAAGCTTAAGAACATGAGCAAACAAGGGACAAGAGAAGTTGAAACATTCAGATCGGTGTTGTCGGATGTGCATACCTCATTAAAGGTTTCAATATAGTGTTTTTGTTTCCTTCTAGTGTTTGGCCATTTACTTTCGAAATCTAACCTGTTTTAAATACACAGCCATGGTTTCCTCGATTGCAAGAAGCGTTATCCGGCCTTCAGTTGCTTCCAAAGAATCAAGAAGAACATTCTTTGATGAGCACTAGCAGTGTGCGCCCTAGCGAAGAGGAAGAATTGTTTGAAGTTGAGAGTCCTGAGCCTACTCAATTTGAGCCTTTAGTCTCTCCATCTCCTCTCGTGGCATGGCGTGGTGATTATAACGCCGACAAGGGTCGACAACTCTTTCTGTTGACACCACTACCCTTAGGCAAATCTGCATTCCTCAAACATCAGAATGCCTCCAAGATGAAATCTAAAATGATTCTGCCAAATGCTGCTGCAAATCAACGGCTCGAAGCTTCTAAAGAAACAAGTGATGGTGTGTTAGGAGAGGAGTCTATGAAAACCGCAGGACTTGGCAATTCATTAGACATGGATCTCTCTGAAAATTTGGTGGAGTGTGAGCCATTGTCTTCACCAGTTCTCAGGAGAAAAATCCAGTCTGAGCTTCTAATGACCCCTTGCTTGAAGATGTCTCCTCCGAAACCTTTTGCTCTGTTTAAACCGGTTCCTGAATCTTCTCAACCGGAAAAGCAAGGAGCTTGTAAGTCCACCTGCTCTGAATTGGGAGCTAGTTCCACTTTTAATGGTTCACAAAGCTCTGGATCCTCTGGTATTGATAAAACAGACGATCTCTGTTCGAAGTTTCCTGAGCTTTTGGGAATAAATCATGCTCCAATAGCCAGAAAAACTGATATTGAATCGTCGCCGGTTTGGTGGTTTTCTCCTCCTAAAACATGTGTTTTATTGGAGCCTGTGAATGAGAAGAAACAGATTGATGAAACCGGTGGATCCAAAACGGTGTCCTCATTTGCTTTTCCAAACGTTAAACCAGAAGCAGAACACCCAAAAGGTACATAATTTGATTTTTTGGGTTATTTCATTGAGTCTTATGATTTTGAGCATCTATGATCTTTATTTTTCTCGGCTGTTTTCTTAGAGGAAAGTGTGTCAATGGTGGTTGAGAGTACTCCAATGTTGAAAGAAGCAGAGAGTGTAATGACGAAAAACAGAACAAGAGCAGGTGAGAGTACTTTGAAGAAAGAGTTATGGACGAGATTTGAAGAAGCATCAATGCACACCAATCGTCTCAGCTCGATGACGACGACGACGACGAGAGGAAAGAAGAAGAAAGGGTTCATGGAAATGTTAGAGGAAGTGTGTGGCAGTGAGGAGAGTTAAATTGATGATCAAAGTATCAAAGATTCGTAATTTTGTAATTTCTTGTTCCTTTTGTAATTTTGTCTATTGTACGGTTCGTTTTTTAAATAATCTATATACGTATGGAATCGATTGATGACCATTAGAGTGGAAATTGAAATGAAATGAACATGAGAATTTAGCCCTGTAGAGAAATGATAACAAAGAAAAACGTTTTTGTGGTCGAAAACGGCTACTTAATTGTTTATACTTTTCAAATGAATATGTGTTACTACGAAAAGAATAACTACATCGACTACATGTATGATCCCATTCGCTTATAACTTGAAAAAAATCAAAGCGAACTGATTTAATTGGAACCTCATATCTCGCTTAAAATTTTGTATTTTGTTCACGACCCATTAGAAATTTTCGTATGGTTCGTAATAAATTACACTCTAGGAAGGTATAACTAACCTACTATCCAATTTGTTAATACTTCATTAGTAGGTCTTCAAAACAAATAAAACAAACATTTAAATTTCAAGTGGACACTTGTCCCCAACTAAATAAGGAAACCTTGTGTCGAAAATAATAAATCGGCCTCATTATATATGTCCCTGCATTCTAGGGAATTTCGACCGAATATTTATATGATCATCCATTTTTCTAGTTTAATATATTTAAGTTATTTGGAAGGGCTATATTTGATTATTTGTCTTTTAACTCTACGTACTTTATCAAAAAAAAAAATACTTAATTGCATTCCCCAATATTACTAAACGTTCTCCAACAAAAAGAATTCTCTAAATCACTTTCTCCATGACTAAATAGATGACGATGAGCATTCCATCGTCATCATGCTCGGTGGCTCCGCTGCAATGACAGAGAGCTTATATTGTAACGGCTAACGACCAAAAATGCATTGAGCCACGCAAAAACTAACAAATATTGCTCTTAAGTCTTAACCACATGAAAACTACACAACCATAATTGAATAATCATATCGAAACTGATCATAAGTAACATATTTCATTGCCCAGTCTTATTCGTGTACAAGAGTGTGCCAAATGTTGGGTCAAAATCAAAAGATTTAATCTATAGCGATAAGAGGAAATAATAACAGACAAGTCGTTAATAATTCATAATACTTCTAACGTTTTGAAGGTAAAACTATACCTACCATCTCTTTTATTAATAGTAGAATAGTAAGTATTAAAAACAATGAAAACAAACGTTTTGAAGGTAAAACTATACCTACCATCTCTTTTGTTAATAGTAAATTAGTAGGTATTAAAAACAAAGAAAACAACTAAACAAGGAAACCCTATGTTGATATAAACAATAAATCAACCTAACTAGATTTGTTTTTTTATATGTTCCTGCATTCTATGGAATTTTCTACCGAATATTACATAGTTAGACTGATTATATAGAATATGATATATGTAGTATTTCTAATATCAAATTTAATCGAAGACATTAATCCTGCGCACTTTATCCAACAAACACCTAATTCATTTCCCTATAGTTCCTAGTCCTAAACCTTCTTTAGCAATAAATCAACTATCCCTGAGTAACTCTAGATAATGAATTGCTAAATCACTTTATCCATAATTAAACAGATGGCCAACACTATAAATACTATTCGTCTCCCTTCATATATCTATATATTCTCCATAACTCAAAGTTACAAACATACACATAACGCAAGATCGACATCAACTATGGCTACAAAGACCTCAACCACACTTGCTTTATTCCTTGTTATCAATCTTCTCTTCCTCAACCTCATTATCCCGGTTTACGCAGACAATACTTGCCCAAGAGACGCTCTAAAAATTTCGATATGTGCAAATGTACTCAACCTCATCAACTTGAATCTTGGCGCACCGGCTATGAGACCTTGTTGCTCAATTCTCTTAGGTCTAATCGATCTCGATGTTGCACTTTGCCTTTGCACCGCACTTAAGCTCAGCATTCTCGGCATCACCATTAGCACTCCCATTCACCTTAACTTGGCCATCAACGCCTGTGGAAGAACCCTTCCCGATGGCTTCCGTTGCCCAGCATAATAATTCATAATTTCTGTGTATGTTCTCGAATTGGTTTTGCCTAACATCCATATTCAAGTACTATCTAAAATCTGCTTCGTAAGAATGTTACTATTAATGAGATGTTTTGTGGAAATGCAACAAAAAATGCGAATAGAGACGTGTTGGTTTGTTCTTACGTAATCTCCAATTGTTTATCCAAAGAAGAAAAAGAGAGAGGATATAGTAACTCGTTAAGGTTTTATGTGTCTTTTTCGTTTTGGTTCCGTCAAGTTTGCTATGTTATACAATATTTTTAATAATTGAGAGTAACGTAAATCCTTGAATTTTTTTTCTTATATAATCTCTTATGATATTAATCAGGATAATTAAAATCAAACATGACGGATAAAGCCAATACAAATGTGAAAGCCAGACTTTGTGGTCACAAAATTCCAAAATTACTAATCTTCAAACACAATCGCCAGCTACACATGGGAATTATGAGTAATAATGGTAGACATGTGTATTGATTCTAATTTAAGTCTTGTATATTTGGTAATCACGTTTAACTGTGATTTTGTAGAAAATATCATAATCATCTTTACCCATTTTCATTTGAATATCTTAAGAAATATATGAAATTAAAAAGTTAATTCATCTTTTTATTTTAGAACTCTTCTTGACTTAATGGTTGAGCAAAGATTCACTATTATACATCGAATGATCTAGATTTTGAATCCTAAAAAGTCATTTATTACTATATATTTATGCATATTAATAGAGACAAACTTATAAAGACTTCAACGCAACTAGAGTCGTTTGGCATAAATGTTCATAAAATATATAGTTATCTATTATAGAATTATGGATATAATATTTTGCATAATTTATTATACAAGAATAAATCAAAAAAATTATTTAAATATTATAAATAAGTTAAACCAGTTTGAGTGTAAGGTAGCATGTAATTTTGGGGTTCTTAGTTTTTGGTCAGCTACACGAATTTATACTATTTTGTTTTTTGATGGTTTAATTACCGTTTTACTCCATCCTTTACTATTTTGTGTATGTTATATCTGTATTTTATATTTTGTAAAATTAAAATTATCATGAACAATAAATTACGTGCTAGATCCTAATAATACTTTGTGAAAGTGTTAAAAACTAATAAGAGGTAAATAAGTAACAATTCATTGCAAAAGACTCAATAAGTTAAATTTTTTTGAAAAATTATGTTTTTTTGGCAACTGTTGAAAAGTTAACCAAAATATTGTCGACTGTTTTAGAAGAAGTGGTTCTATGTCATTTAAGTCTACCATCACGGAATATGATTTGGTTCAATCAAGTCAACATTTTTTTATATCAACGAATAAAAAGTAAGTCTACCGTTGGTATATAACGGAATTTAAGTCGATAATTCCAATAATTATACTACTTATCCAAAAATCAACGAAAAACGATATACAAATATCAGAAGAAATCAACAACCAAATAATATAAGCCAATAGTAATATAAATGTTTTTGAACATAATGTAAAATCTATGTTTTTGATAACGTTGAACATTTATATTTAGTTTTTAAAGAAAACTGAGAAATACCCTGATTTGTAAATTCACATTTGTTTGGAGCGATTAACTAAATAACAAATACGGATAGTACATTTCACATTGAACAAAATGTTTTTTTTATTATTATATTTTTCTTTTGGTAAAAGGCTCACATCGACCAAAATGTTATTTTCAAATTTTATAAAGTTAAGTATATGAAACAAAGTTGATCGAAAACATATGATAAAGCGAGCCCAAATATAAAAGATTAATTAGTTTTCATAATATTATATTTAGATTATCAACCCTCCAAGAAACATCTATCTTATGTATATTAATCTTTATAAATGGAACATCAAACCAAACAATCAATTTGACATATTGAAAAACTATGACTGCACAATGGTGTCTTCATAATTATATCTGTTCATTATCAAATAAATTCCATGATTATCCATTTTTCTTCTTGTGAAATAAAAAATGGGAGTTTTTGAAACCACTTTCTAAAACAATGATCCACTGTTACTAAATTATCAGAGAAATTAATAATTCCACACAAGTAGATAGTAATGACAGCGTTATTTAACTGTCCAACCCCTTACAACCCTAATATATATACATACCCCCTCTCTCAATCTCTCTTCATCACTCTCAAAACAACACTTCTATCTTAAAAAAAAAAGATGGCTTCAAGAATCTCAGCCTCCCTTATCATTTTCCTCACATTCAACATCCTATTCTTCACACTAACCACCGCATGTGGCGGTGGCTGCAGCCCAATCCCCAAACCAAAACCTAAACCGAAGCCCACCCCAAAACCTTCATCCTCAATAAGCTGCCCTAGAGACACTCTCAAACTCGGTGTTTGCGCCAATGTTCTCAAGGATCTTCTCAAAATCGATGTTGGCAAGCCGCCAGTCAAGCCTTGTTGCTCGGTCCTCAAGGGTCTGGTTGATCTTGAGGCCGCTGCTTGTCTCTGCACCGCCCTAAAGGCTAATGTTTTAGGAATTAAGCTTAATGTTCCTATCTCTCTCAGTCTTCTTCTTAATGTTTGTGGCAGGAAGACCCCTTCTGGATTCATATGCGCTTGATCTACTTATTTACCTATGCTTCCATTGGAAAACAAGTTTAATCTCTCTCTCTTTTAATGTTTGTCTTTCATTGTGATTCTTTGTATTCTCATATTCTATTTCAGTTTTTTAATCGAATAAGTGTTGCTTCTATTTCTTTTATTGTATCCAATTTAGATCGATTTGCTCATTCATAATTTAAGGTAATTAATAAGCTTCTTGTTTCCGCTTGAATTCACAAAAAATAATTCATACTAGTTAGTGGTTTATGTTAAAACAAGAAAATATAGGTAAATATATCGATTATATAAGTATAACCCTACAATTTATATACGGATTTCCGAACGTGAATAGCAGGAAAATATATATAAAAATTAGAATTTTACTCAAAGTGCAGAAGTGAAAACTATCGAATTTTTACTCCACATTTGGATAAAGGGGAAGTGTCAAAATTTGTGTATTGCTCTGAATTCTCTTGTGTTTATTCCATCGATATTCAAATACATTATATAGGGGTAGCCTTTAGCTTATCATACAAGTAACAGAGAATATCTATTCTAACCAAATAGGAATATTCTCATATTCGAGTATATCCTTTCCTAATACTCCCCCTTAAGATGATGAGTGTAGATCTTTAACTCCCATCTTACCAAGTAGATAACGAAATTGAACACGTCCAAGAGCTTTAGTCAACAAGTCTGCAAGCTGTTCAGTCGTTCGAACATGCGCAGCAGCTAACTGACCGGCTTGAAATGCATCACGGGTAATGTGACAATCATTCTCTATGTGCTTAGTGCGCTCATGGAAAACTGGATTCCGAAGAATGTTAAGGGCCGATTTGTTGTCGCAGAAGAAAGAAACTGGTTCTGGATGCTTTATGTCGAACACCGGAAGTAGCTCCATCAACCACTGTATTTCAGAGTAAGTGAACGACATAGCACGGTATTCGGCTTCGGTGGACGAACGAGACACTGTGTCTTGTTTCTTGGTTTTCCAAGAGATAGGAGAATCGCCCAAAAGAACAACATAACCAGTCAAGGAGCGTCTAGTGATCGGGCAGGAAGACCAGTCAGAGTCGCAGTAGGCTTTAACGTGAAGGTTCGAGCCAGTTTTGAGAAAGATGCCTTGACCCAGCGATCCTTTTAAATACCGTACTACCCTGATCACGGCATCCCAGTGCTTCTGTCGAGGCTTAACCATAAACTGAGCAAGAAGATGCACCGCATAACTGAGGTCAGGCCGGGTGATAGAGAGATAAACCAAAGGACCCACAAGACGTAGATAACTAGAGGGATTCGTATAAAATTCACCTTTATCGCTAGCAAGAGTATGATTCTGCTCAATAGGAGTGTCGTAAGGGCGAGCTCCAGTCAAACCACACTCCGTAACAATGTCGAGTGCGTATTTACGTTGACAAACGTAGATACCATCCTTGTTTCTCGATATTTCCAAGCCCAAGAAGTACTTCAAAGTGCCCAGATCTTTCATATGAAAGCATTGATTCATGTAAGCCTTAAATTTAGCAAAAAGAGTAGAGTCATTCCCACCAATTACCAAATCGTCGACATAGACAAGGACATATAGACATGATCCTCTGCGATGATACGAGAACAATGAATAGTCCTTTTTGTTTTGAACATATCCAAATCGCAGAAGAGACTCAGACAGCTTAGCAAAACCAGCATCGCGGTGCTTGTTTGAGACCGTATAGAGATTTCTTTAATCGACAGACCTTGTTCTTATCAGCCGCAGAATACCCAGGTGGAAGTTTCATATAAACTTCCTCTTTCAAATCGCCATGGAGAAACGCATTATGGACATCCATTTGTCCAAGTTCCCAGTTTTTAGATGCAGCCACTTTAAGAAACACTCTGACTGTAGTCATCTTAACAACATGGGCAAATGTCTCGTCATAATCAGTTCCTTCCTCTTCTCTGTTGCCAAGAATCACCAACCGAGCTTTGTAACGTTCTAAAGAGCCATCAGATTTTAACTTCACCTTGAAAACCCATTTACTGCCAATGGCGTGTTTGCCGGGTGGTAAATCGACAATGTCCCATGTCTTGTTCTTTTCCAGGACATGAACCTCATCTTTAGACGCACCTCTCCAATGTTCATATAACATAGCTTCTTTAAATGATTTAGGCTCGGTATAAGCATAAACTGCAGCCAAAAACATCTGCTGGGGAACAGAGAATCGATCAACAGAGACAAAATTAGCAAGAGGATAAATACACTTACTTGAGGACGAGGATGCAGAGTGAGCATTGGTGCGAGAGGGTTTATCATCAGTGCAAGCAGAATAGGTGACATATGGCGGTTGCAGAGCAGCAGAAGGTCGTTTAATGCAATGACCCCGACCAAAAACGTTGTCGTTGTTGTCAGCAACAACCGCGACTGGTGCAGGCTCGGTGTCCTCTGTTTCAACATCTATATCAGACAATACTGGATCATCGACTTCTGCAGTCTCTGTGATATCCGTCGCAACGACTGAATTGACTGCTTCTGTAGGTTCGATAACAGCTGGTGCAGCTTCTGTTACAGTCGTATCAGTCGGTGTCTCAATGAGAACAGGTGTTTGCGGTTCTGTTACTATTGGTGCGATGGTAGAGGATGGAGAACATACTGGGTCGTCATCTTTACCATCATCAGCAAGCTCCCCCTCAATTGGTACGTCCTCGAGAACAAACAGAGAGGAAGACTCGTCTGGTGTCGCAGTATCGGAAGCTTCATAAGGATAAACGTTCTCATAAAACTGAACATCGCGAGATACAAATGATTTTTGAGTCTTGAGATCAAGAATGAGCCAACCCTTCTTTCCCATTGGATAACCGAGGAAGACACAACGAGTACTGCGATCTGCGAATTTTTCACTGGATTTAGGCGTCTTTGTAGCATAACACAAGCAGCCAAAAGTTCTGATGTTATCATAGGTTGGTGGTTTCTGAAACCAATTCATAAGGGGTTTTCCCTTGAAGCAAGATCGATGGTGTGCGGTTGATAAGATAGGTTGCAGCCTGAATACTTTCACCCCAGAATTTCGTAGGAAGATGCGCTTGGAACAGCAAGGAGCGAGCCACATTTAGTATCTGTCGATGCTTTCTTTCGACTCTTCCGTTCTGTTGCGGAGTATAGACGCAAGAAGTGTGGTGTGAGATTCCTTTTTCTGCGAAATATGATCGAAGGGGAAGGAATTCTGTGCCATTATCTGTGTGAACCGTGCACACCTGTTTGCTAAATTGTCTTTCGATCCAGGCAATAAAATTCTTGATGACTGTTGCTACCGACGATTTTTCACGCAGCAAATGGGTCCAGACAGCGCAAAAAAAATCATCTACAATGGTGAGGAAGTAAGTAGAACCGCAGGTTGATTTTGTGTGGTATGGTCCTCAAACATCACAGTGTATCAAACTAAATAACTCATCAGCTTTATTTGAACTTTCTGAAAAAGAAACACGACTTTGTTTTGCGCGAGAGCACACATCATAACAATCGTCTAATCTGCTAGTACTACTACTAAAAACGCCAAAATCTGATAACAAAGTAAGAACTTTTGATGAAGGATGCCCCATCTTTCGATGCCACAAATCTCTGGTTTCCATCTTTGCAATCCGACTAGCTTGAGGAAGAACTGCTCCAGCAAGATGATAAACCCCATCGCGTGCTCACCCGCTCCAATCAAAGTCCTTGAAGCTTGGTCCTATATAAAACAAAACCGTTTGGTAAATATCACAGAACTTGCAATGTCACAAAGAAGCTGTGCAACAGAAATAAGCATGAGATGCAAGTCAGGAGCATAAAACACATGATGAAAAATAAGTTTTCCTCCGAGATACAAAGTGCCATGTCTCGTTGCCCAAGTAACACCACTATTAGGAAGCTTAATTAGACAATCATCGATGCTCTGAAGATCACTTAGCAATGTGATATCCCCAGTCATATGATGACTTGTTCCAGAGTCGATGATCAAATCAAAACGACTATGTGTCTCATAAAGAATCAGTTTTTCTATCTTACCAGAAAGTTTGTCTCCGGAAGATCCCTTCTTACTTTCGAGGAACTCAGCTAGGGAGTGCCACTGAGCAGCTGTGAGGGATGGAATGCCTGTAGAAGAGGTAGAAGCTTGATTAACAGTCACCTGCAAACCTCTGCCTCTACCACGTCCTCGAGCAGTACTTTTCCCGCGACCAGATGCTGGAACGCTCCCTTTATTTGCTGCAGTCTGTTCAGGCCACCAATCAGGATAACCAACAATCTTGAAACACTGCTGTTTCTCATGTCCAACTCGTCTACAGTGAGAACAGAGGAGAGATTGCTTCGAAACAGCGGTCACCGAAGCAGATAATCCGATAGGCTTGGTGGTATCTGCATCATCTCGTGTCACATTATGATGACGCTTCTCTTGAGAGATTTGCGAGTATACTTGATCAAGGTTTAGGTCGGTTAATCTTGTCAGCAAGTTCAAACGTGTGGTTCCAAACTTGCGACTGTCAAAGCCCATCAGGAACTAGTGAATGCGGATGCCTTCCCGTTTCCGTTGATAGGACACCAGCGATGCACAACTGGTCTTTTTACAACCACATGAGAAGCCCTTGTCGAGATCGGCTAGGTCATCCCACAACATCTTCAATTTACCGTAGTATTCCTCCACGGTTTGTTCCTCCTGTCTGCACTTCCGTATATCGTCGTGCAGTTGATGTTCCCGAGTTACATCACTCACCGAAAACCTTTGCTTGATGCTATCCCACATCACCGAGACATTATCTACGATTGAGATAGTGGAGCGTAGTTTCTCTTCTATGCTCACCATGATCCACCCGATGATGAGAGAGTTCACCATATCCCATCTTTCAGCATCATCGGTTCCTTCTTCTGGTCTCTTTAGGGTTCCATTGATGAACCCTAATTTTCGTTTTGTCCGGAGAGCATTCATCATGAGTTTGGACCATCTTTCATAGTTGGATCCGTTCAAGAGTATTGAAGTCAATACTTAGCCGCTGTGTTCTCCGGTTTGGATCGTATAAGGTGACACCAAGGGCGTCTCTTTTGTCTCGTCGCCGCCGGCCATGGTGAGCTAAG